TAGAGGTGTAAAGTGGGTCATGCCGGGCTGGCATGGCACGCCCCCCGTGTTGGCCCATGGGCCTTTATGAGTCGTGCCATGGCCCAGGCCCGTGCTGTGCTGTGCCGCGGGCCAGGCTGGCCTGTGGGTCGAGCCTTGGGCTAGGTCAGGTCGTGCATCAGGCCAAGGCTATTTATTTAAAAAAATGACAAAAAACTTAAAATCTTAATTTTATATGAATTTTGTGTATACAATTGCTTATATATACAATAATTAAATAAATTAGTATAATAAAATTAAAAAACTATTTATTTTATTAATATATTACATACTATATATTATTATATAATTATAATATATATAATATTATATAAATATATATAAAATATATAAATAATATATATGGGTTGGGCTGCGACCTGTGGGCTTGCACAACCCGCTCGGTCATACCAGCCCATGGACCTAAAACCCAGGCTAAGCACAACCCGCATGGTCATGCCAGGCCATGCACGACCCGTGGACCATCATGCCGAGCTGCGCCATGCCACGGGCGGCACGACCCGATTTACACCTCTATCCATACCCATAAAACATTATATGCATACATTGGAAATATCTCTTTTGTGGGAACAATTTGTGGACAGAAGATTCAGAGTGCCCAAGGGCCTCAACTCAGACTACAGATCTTCTGTCCACGAGAACTCTGCCCACGCCTACCCATAATACACTACTCCCCGTGATTTGGGAACATCTCCCCTTGCATAATACTATGCAAGAGATGAGATGTTCTCCATATATGACTGCAATAAATGTGAACAGAGTTCTCGTGAACATGAGATCCCAGACTCCTCAACTCATTCTTAGCTGAAAAAGACTTAGCTTATCTACCCAATAGAACCAAACTGACCGTTCTGGTTGTTTTTAAACAATTAAGAATCGAATCAACTATAAAGTTTATAATATATAACGGTCGTCTTGATTTTTTTTTGTAATTTTTGTTATATTGTATCTAAAGGATTTTTTGATAGACAGTATATAAGATAATTTTGATTAAAAAATACATGTTTTATTAACATATAAACAGTTTACTATTTACTATCATTTTGTATTAAGGTTATATTATAAAAAAATGAAGTTCTAAATTATTGTTATTATAGATAATTATAAGTAATTACAAAGATTAAAATGCGCGACCTATCATATTGGTATTGATGTATCTAGATATATTTGGATACACCAATGTACATATTTTTTTTAAATGTTTTAAAGGCTATCATCCCTCTTCCCCAACCCCTGATCATTATAAAAAAAAAAAATGAACATCAGCCATATCAATATGCACTGATGTCCATGTTTAGATATTAGACGTATTAATTTTTTAATTCCTAGGAAATTATATATGTCAATTATAATTGGGTCTAATCAGCTCAGACCCGATCACCACTATTAATAATTTACCCGGCTTTGGGTCAATTTTATAGAACTGATTAATAATCAATTTAGAACTGGTCCAAACAGCACCTAGATATGGACATAAGTCATTAAGGTGCTGTTTGAGAAATCTTGCAATAGCGTGATGGCCAATAAACGTTCTAAACCTTTGGGGTGTTGTCTTTAAAGATCAAGACATTAATAAGTAGCTCAATCTATCGAGCTTTTATAACCCATTTAGGGGGAGTTCTTTTTTTGGATTTGGAGAGGGGTAAAAGTTGGTCAATGGGATTTTGGTTCTCATTGACCAAGAATTTTATATTCTTTTTTCAGCTTTATGTGGGGAATAGAGAGAGTTTATTTTCATGGGTATCACTTTCCTAGGAAAATAAACTTTCCCTATTCTTCTAGGTGGATAAATAACTTTCCTGTATAGAGGAGAATTTGCCAAAACTTGAATGTGACAAAAATATCCCTTTTAATAATGTATTTATATGGTTAAAATGGTCATTGCCTTATTTACCTCAAAAACAAAAGAACATGGGTAAAATACTTACTGGGTAAGTATTTCCCAAGATAAAACTTATCCAGATAATTACATTTACCCGATTAAATAACTTTCCAAAAAACGAATGGGGCCTTAAAGGCTATCACATATAAAGATCCAAAATTTTCATTTGAAATTTCTCAATTTATGGCAATTTCAATGTTTTTGGGTCTTTTTGAGCGCGTCTTTTGGTCCTCTCAGTTTTCTTTTACGGTTTTATCAAAACAAAAAGGCCAATTTTTGGTCTTCGGAGTTTAAGTTAAGTCAAAGCTGTTGCCAAACGGTTGAATCAAACAATAAAACAAACCGACCAACCCAAACCAGGCCCACAACTTATAGTATCTGTGACCGTGAGTAATAAAACCCAAAGGCCAGAACCAACCCTATTGTCAACCGGGCTTATGGGGTCGTCTGTGTGACGTGGAACAGCGTGGAAGCACCATCTGGGGTCACATCAACGTTGAACATATTATTATGTTTTATGTGGGAATTTGTGAACCTTCTCTATTACCTAACTTTTCAATTATTATGTATTTGGAGACATGTTCCCCCTTAATTTCTTATTTTATTTTTCAGCACGAGGACACTACCGTATATTGGAAAATAAAAATAAATAAAAAGGAAATAATGGCCTAACGGTACTAGATGGACCCCTGGCCCAAAATAAAAATAATAAGGAAATTTCGTGTATAAAATCACTTCAAAAGAGAATTCCCAGTTCAATAATTTCTTTCAAGGCATCTATTTTACTTTGTTTTCTATTTTATTTCTCCTCAAAAGGGTTTTTTTTTTCTTTTATTTCTAAAGGAACAAAGACAGAGTGAGAAACTCGTATTCACCCACTAATTCAGTAATTCTGGTAATCGTTGAAGCTGGGGTGTTTGGGTCAAATTGATCTCTTAGTGGGGATCTAGTCAACATTGGGCCATCATCTTTCCAAAATGAGATGCATGGGTATAGCTGTGAGGAATCCAGTTCACTCCATTGGTTGCTCACTCTTTGTGAACCGAACCCCACCTAAGATAGTGCCTTGTTAAAATATCTAATGTGGGTCCTTTTATTTGTTGATCATATTTGTTTTGTTTTTTCTTTTTCAATCTACTCTTAAAACCCTAGAAGAAAATATCTTTCTTACAATGAAAGGATTTCTTTCCCTAAATTTACAATCTGAAATCCCTTCTGCTTCTAATAAATAGATCTCTTGTTCCTTGCAAGCGATTGCTAGTTGCTTGATTGGCCAGGGACCAGTAAAAACATCTTCAGTTTAGGGTATTTCATAGAGGATTTTGAATTCCTTCTTCCTATTTGCACCATACGATTTTGTACTTACCCAGACTGAGTACGTGGTTAAGATTTTTATGAAAAGACCATAACACCCTTTGACTGTTGTGTTGGTAAAGCGTGACAATCTGATCTGACACCCAAAGTCTCTTCGCCCAAGACACTTCGTTAGTTTGCTTGTACCCGCCACGCATCGTGTTGAATCGTGGAGCTGGCATTGAGCGACACCTGCCCTTGCTTCGACATTAGAATCCCATATTTGGCTGCCCAACCACCCCAAGAGTTTCTTTTCTCTTTTGTCGTCCTTTTATCAACACGTGGCGTCCAAAGCCGGATTGGAATCTTGCAAATCCACGTCAACGTCGCTGACGTGTTCCCTCCCCAGATTATCTTTCAGAAAATCCTCCCTCTCTCTCTCTCTCTCTCTCCAGAGTTATGATTAAATGAGCGCTCTCTCATTGAGTGAGACGTATTGCCTCCCAACGTGTTTATTTATAATTGGCTGAAAAGTAAAATACCCTAAATATTCAGATTATTTTTATACGAGGTCCAATAAAAAAGAAACACGTGCCTCGTACGAGATCCCCAATCCTCTCTTTTACTCCCTCACTCTCGCTTTCACTCCCACCCATAACTATGTCCGACACTATGCGTGCGTGCGACAGCTAGTGATGTCAGCGACCTACGCGACAAGCGTGACACGTCGCCCTCCCAACTTGATACCTTCTGGGATGTGGGCCTACCTTATTCTACCGCCACGTGGATATCCGCAACATTTCTTTGACACGTGTTCCCTTCTTCCGCATAGCCGTACCTGCTATAAAAAAGTGCAACTTGTTACGGCTGGGCCCTACTACTTCGACCGGGGCACGCGTCCCCTTCCGGCTCCCGGGACCACGTACACCCTCTATTCCGCTTTCCTAGCCGATTTTTTTCATGATTCATTTCCTCGTGCATTTCGTGGGATTCGGGATTACTTCGGTTGACGAGTGTCAACAGCCGACGGTCGTATTTCGATTTCAGTTACCATGTGCATGCCAGTTACAAGTTAGGTGGATCCTGAACATATGAACCATCAGAGCCGTCGGATGGGCATAATGGAATCAAGGTTGCAATACTATGATCCTGATCCTGTGACTCATGCCTTGTCAGATCCATCCAATCAAAATCATCTTCGGATGATGGTAAGATCACTACCCAATAAAACACAGTAGCGTTTCTGTTGAAGGCAGGGCAGCTGGGCAGGTGCCACATATGTTTGCCACGCTTCAAGGCGCATGTTAGCAGAGACTATTAGAATCGGATTCCCCATGATCCTCGGCTATGGATGATTCCTCGGCCGAAGAGACACGGACGGAAACTGCGACTCGAAAGGCGAGGTTGTCTGCCACGTGTCCAACTCTGAGGCTGTTACAGCCCGTAGTTCTGGAAGACAGCTAAGAGGAGAGAGAGAAAAAGACGTCGCGGCTTTACGAGGACGAGGCTCCCAGACTGTTACCGACACGTGCCAGTTTTCCTCTTCCTGACATTAGTATAATGACACGTGTTCCTATGACAGCCCATTCCATGACGCCCTCACTCTAAACTTAGCGGTGGCGACGCTTGTTTGGCGTCGCTCCCTAAACCTGGCTCCGAACCACGTGTCTTCTCCAGGATTCATCGGATACACGTGGCTCCCGGTGGTGCGTTCCCTCGTTTTCCGTGAGGGCTTTTTCGTAATTTTAAATTTTCGTCATTCTAAAACTCTCTCTTTTCTGCTTTTTGTTTCCGTTGGTTTTATCTCTTTTCGTTCCCTTTTGTAAAATCTTTCTTGTGTTTCCGCCATCTTCTGTCATGGCTTCCTCTGTTTCTCCGGCGAGTCCGTGCCGTAATCGTGCCGGATAGTATGAAATTCTGGTCTCTCGGCGTACTTTTGATCGATTGGGGACCACTCTTAATCGAAAACATGAACGTATAGGTTTTTCCGATATCCTTTTTCTAGGTTTTCTGATGCTTTTCATATTCTGCGCGCCTTCCATCGTTTCTCCGGTCGTTGCGCTTCTTTCGTGAGTATTCAGGAGAGGAGTTTTGCTTTATAATCGACCTTATGATCGAGGTTTTGCTTTGGGTGAGAAAAAATAAAATTAAGAGAAGTGTTTAAGGCTTTAGTTTCCTTCTTCGTGGTGAGGCATGAGAGAAGCAAGGGAAACTGAACCCAGTGAAATCGAGCATCTTCCTGTGCAAATGAGTGGACATCCGCGAGATCTGTTGAAAAGGTTCTCAGCTACTAATTACCGACCAAGCGAATTTGCGGAGGCAAGAGAAGATACTGAAGAGATCGAGCTTAATCTTGGGCTTTCTTTGGGTGGTTGCTTTGGGGTAGACCCAAGGGAGAAGAGGCTCGTACGGTCGTCATCGATCGCTGGCTTAACGACTATGGCGAGAGACGAAGATGCCTCAGCTCCTCCTCCTGCGGCATGCTCCGCTCTTACACGGACATGTTCGCTCCCTACGGAGACGGAGGAAGAGCGCAGGAAGCGAAAAGAGCTGCAGTGCCTTAGGAGGATGGAGGCAAAGAGAAAGCGATCAGAGAAGCAAAGGAATTCCAGGGCAGGTAAGGATCGAGCCTCCTTGGAGGGAAATTGCGAGGAGGATAAGAGGTTAGACGATGAAGTTCTGTTGTCATTGAATTTAAAAGGGAAGGTTGAGAACATTACTAGTTTCCAGGGTTTTACAAGCAATGCTTTAGCGAAACAGCAGCAGCAGCAACCACAACCGCAGCAGCAATACATGACTGCCAATGACTTCACTTCATCGGCAGCTCCGACTTTTGGCCTGCTCACTTGGGCTGCAGCTGCCCAGGGAGCCGCTCATCCACATGGGATGGATACAAGCACGAATGGCAAAGGTAACGTTTTGGCTGCCGCCTTTCCCATGCGAGGATACCCACCACCGTCCTCACAGGGATCGCTTGGATCGCAGGGCAGTAGCTCTTCTGGGGTTTCTGAATTCGAGAGTCGACCAGTTCAAGGTATCACATTGTCTTCCTATATGTACGGTTTTTCTTTTCTTCTATTTGTTTGTTAAACATTCGCTTCCTCTCTGTAAAATAGGTAATTGCAGTGATTAGATGTTCTGCAACCCTTAATTTGCTTTTTGGGGAGATTAATTCTTGCATTTGTTCTTTTCTTTTCTTTGGATGCCCTGTACTTATAAATTTACTTTTATTATCTATCTATTCTTCTTCTTTTTTCTTTGAAATTGGGTGTGGAGAATTTTGAGTTATTCTGTTGTACAATCATGGCAAATTTTCCCAGAAAAACCGATTTATTTCGAAAGAAGGAAAAATAAGAAAAAAAAAATGGAAAGTGGATTCTGTTTGCTAACAAGTTGCATAGATTTTACGAAGGCTCCATTTTTGTTGGTATTTTGCATAAGAGTTCTGTTTCTGTCACCTTTTTTTTTTCTTTTTTCTTTTTTTTTTTTGATATAGCAACAAAAAACGACAGTTATCTTTTTGAGAGTGTATTAGAATTTGCATATATTATTTTTTTTCACGTTGCCGATGCTTTCCCTGGGCATGAATGTCTTTTAATTTCTTTAATAATTGTGGAATTTGTTGCGTTCATTCTTTGTAATTTGGTTTTCAGATCTCAAGAATCATTTAGATGCTTTGGGTTTTGTCTTGCTTGTCTTTTTCTATTATGTTCGATTCAAATGGTAATTGACTACATTATATCTTCTGATCAAAGGTAAAAGAACGTTTCATTTCTAAAATTTTCTGAAGAATTAGATGTAATATATATTGATTCAATAGTTTAATTTCTTTTTGTCCTCAATGGATAAATTCCTTCCCATACAAGTATATTTACCCCTTCTACTCCTGGCCCAGGGTGGTCAAAGAAACTGAGGCTGAATCTTTTCTTTCCTCCTTTCCTTTCTTTTCCTTTTCAATTCAAATCATTAGAACATCATGGTAAACAGAATGTGAAGCTTTAGTAATTAAACTTGATAACACTTGACAGAATTCACCTTGGCAACCTTTTCAACTTTCAGTCATTGATTTGTGGGGGGCATCTGAATCTAATTTCCTTGAGTCATTGCTCATACTTTTCTTCAGAAAATTTAATCTTGACATATGATAGAATGACTTCCATTTTGTACTATGATGCCCGGATCCTTTATTTTTCCCTAAAATACTCACTTTGACACAACATGGCATGGGTATGGGTATGGGCTTTGTGTTATATCCTTCAATGAGGGTTCACATAAAAAAAAAAAAAATCCGCAACACATTCTTTATAAATTGTTAATATTGTTACAAAATACTTAAGTTAGAAATTGAAATTGAACTATTCAATACCCAATTAGGTAATTTATTTTGCAATATAAGATTTTAGCATCTTATCATGCTTTGAGTTATGTTCATTATTGTATTCTTTTGTTGGTAACTTTTCTTTTATTAGATATCAATAAAGGAAGGCATATAGGTTATTTAATATAGTCCGCTTGCATGGTTGCATAGTACCTGCATAGTTATTGTAGTCTTTGTAGAATATATGAGTCCATGTACTAGTTACCTGTTGATAAATCTGTCTTTCTTGACTCCCTGAAGCACAAGATCTTTCTGATCAAGTGGACCCACTCCTAGACACATACCCAAATCCAAATCTGTATGCTCCATGTCTTTGGTTTACATGCACGATAACTGTACTGATTGCTGAATTGATCCTTTTTAGCTTAGCTTGATGGTCTGAATTCACGGTGAGTGCAAGCCTTCTATCACAACAAATCATTAAATTGCTGCATCTTGTTATGTAACCCAAGTGAGAAGAGCATCTTGTTTAAAACTCACCTGTTGTTGAGGATTGATATGCCCTTTGTTGCAGACGGTTCTTGCTTGGTAATAACCCTTTCTTCAGTTTCAGATGTAAAAAAGAGGCCAAGAAAAAACAAAGAACAGTTTGCTTGAATTTGAGCATAATAACAAACATAGATATATAAATATATAAAGGAAGCACAGGTTATTTGTCATCACTTTTGGCGTGCATGTTCACACTGCATTTTCTGCATCTAGCATTGATATGGGGGCTCGGTCCTCACCTGCTACAATACATTCTCCTTGGATCTAAGCAAATTTTGTATGTTTTTCTTTCTTGTTCTTTTGGTGGGTACATTACAGGATTGAGCAGTTGCAGTGAAGCAAGAAGCCCTACCAGTGTGCAGTCATTGCCAGAAAATTGTGAGCAGAAACCAACGGCCAGCCCTGCCAAAACGTTGGCTGAAATGCCAAGCAAGTTTGCTGGAGTTGAGATGGAGACATCAAAGAAACCGAATGTGGTTGACAATGGACTGAGGGAGTTGGGGAGAAATATGATGGATGAGATGCCTTGTGTATCTACTAGGGGAGATGGCCCCAATGGGAAGAGAATAGAAGGGTTCCTGTACAAGTACAGGAAGGGAGAGGAAGTTAGGATAGTCTGTGTGTGCCATGGCAGCTTTCTTTCTCCAGCTGAGTTTGTTAAGCACGCAGGTGGCGGTGATGTGGCACATCCCCTGAGACATATAGTTGTCAATCCATCCCCCTCTTCTCTTTTGTAATGAAAAATGAGAAGAGGTACGACAGAGAAGAAAACAAAGTGCAACAAATGTTCAGGAGTTTTTTTCCCCTCTTTATTTTTTCTCTCTTTTTATTTGTATTTGTTACATATGCCTCCTTTTGTTGAAAAACAAAATGGTCGAAGTTAAAAGAAGAGATTTTCACATATAACTAATGAGGCTCCTTTCTCCTCTCTTATCTTGCCATTTCCTATTCTTCAGATGCTCTTTTCAACTTGTACTTGCAGCAAATTCACATGGATGATTCAAATATGTAGCTTATGGTTGATCGGTTGGATTGATGAGATTGAAATGGAGAAGCAGGCCTGGAATATGTAGGTTGCTAGGTTGGACTCTTGGATGCAAGTGGTGTATTGGTTGGTTGGTACCAGAGATTTGAGTAGATGGAGCTTGTTGACTTTATCTGATATGTAGTTGCTATCTATTTGGACAAGTAGACAAGCAACTCGCAATTTGGATAGTGACTCGTCAACTGGTAAATATAATTAATGGTTAAATTGAATTTAATCAAGTTCTTCCATGTCCCCATTTGCAAGACAAAATCTGTGGTGGAGCTTTATCACTATAGATGGGATCATGGGACTAGCTAATGCCTAATGGAGACGCATGCAGAACTCAAAAGCTAAATCTAAGTAGGCTTCAACGTTGTGAACTAGTGCAGAGTGAGTGAGTTCTCTGCCCTGGGCACCCATGTCATGATCCATATTGAATTGGCATAAAACCCAATGCTGAACATATCACCAATCAATGCTCATATGTGCCCTTCATACGAGGGGCACCTCATAGAATGGTCCCTAAATGAGGGAATATAGTAGAAGCCACATTAAGTGATGAACTCAAAGATAATGCAAGTGGCAACCATGAAGTGATGATTCTAAAACGGGAAAATCTCGCCCCATTCGCTTTTCTGTAATATTCATGTTCTTTTATTTCTCAGGTAAATAAGGTAATGGTCATTTTGTCATAAAAACCCATTATTGAAAGGGACATTTTTATCCAATTCAAGTATTGGTAACTTTCCTCCCGAGTGGGAAAATGAACATAGGAATCTTGGTCAATGAATCCGAAATCTCATTGACCAACTTTTTCCCTTTCAAAATTCAAAAAAAAAAACACCCGCTAAGTTTTAGGAAACTGTTTACTCTACCTCTACTGTTTATAAATTATCTTGAAGTTTTTAACGTTTTTAACAATTGATTAAATCTTCCCTTGCCGTTAGCAACTTAGTATTCCATCACAATTTATTTCACATGACATAATTTTTTTATATTTTAATATTATCCTATTATAGTCAATTTTACCCTTCATTATTCTTCAAATTTTCAAAATAAAACTCAACAGATGCAAATTTTGGACAATGCTCCATCGTCACTGATATCTCCGGCAGTTGATTTCCCTTCCCAGGGATATTCTGAGGATTTGCAGGTGAGGGAAGATCGTCTCAGCACAGTATTTAGGGACAGAGAAATCTTCACCATTGTTGCATCAGATTTTGTCAGCGTCTTTGCAAAAGAGGCAGCTTTCTCTGCAACATCGCATCCGTTAGTTCCAAGAACCCATCATGATCATAGTCTCGGTGTTCCAAAAGTGTACCAACCTTATCTTTGCATAAACCTTGTTTGTATCCATGAAGTGCATTCGGACCAAATGTCACAATTGCTCTGCGACCATAAATTCAGATTCCATTAAAGCAACATTTTTCTGTAACCAACTTGTGGTAGTTAGCCGATATTTGAAAGAATTGTGTAGAATCATGATAATGAAAATCCCTCTTATAGAAGCATAAAAACCCCAAACAGCCAATGGTGGTACTTAAATGCCTGTTTGATCAATGATAAAAGGATATGTGCATTTTGTGTAACCTTCCTGAGTTTGGTGCCTACATTTCTGTTAATGGTAGGTTTATGCAAATGTTTTATTTTAAAAATTTAAAGAAAAATGATAGACAAAATAATCTTTTCCGTTTTTATGGTAATGGATGTTAACAGTAGGAGAGGATTTAGTCAATTGTCAGAAAATTTGAGAATGGTTTAAATAGTTTAAAACAATTAAAAAAAAATAAGGATAGAGATAAGGTTCAAAATATCAATACCGGTGTATCGGGTCAATCGATACATATTTTTATTGCTTTTTTTTTTTTTTGCAACCGGTTCAGGAGGGCTGGTTTAGGTATCCTCTACCCCCTGAACCGGTCAAACCTCCGATACACCCACAGTAGGGCGTATCGGAAGGGTTCCAGAACGATACGTATTGATCGATATGGGCCGATATGTATCGATACTTTGAACCTTAGATATAGAAGACTTGGGATTTCCTATTCACTTTTCCTACCCACTCTACCCGCCGTGAATTGGAGCCACAGTTTATAGGAAAAATTTGTAGGAAATCTGGGCTCGATAGAGAAAGTCAATTTCTTAAAACATAGGGATACTCTTATTAAGAGATTTCCCTCCTTAATATAAACAATGAATTACCCTGGGTTACCAAAAAAAGGGAGAAAATGAAATAACAGAAAGGGTGTTCATCTTTCAAATAGTTTATGCTCATGGAGAATTGAGTCGCAGTGATCTCTCAAGCCCTACAAATGTATTCCAAACACGTCTTATTTATGAAGGGAGATGCAACACTTTTTTATTATCTTGGAAAATATTTGATTCCATTGCATTTTTTCATTGTGATTTTTGAGAAAACATTTATATTTGGTTTCATTGTCGTTTTTTGGAAAACGGCACCATATAGGAGCCACATCAGCCACCATACTAGAAAATGTTTTGAGGAAAGAAAATGTCAAAAATATCGTTTTCTAAAATAGGCTTTTTTTGAGAAAACGGCTAACCAAACATCACATGCATTTTTAGTTATTTTCTCAAAATCTGATATAGTTTGGACGGGGCACCATTTTCTCAAACACCACCTTGGTTGTCCAGTTGTCAAGTGTTTCTCTTATTTATTTATTTATCATTTTATTTTGTTCCCTATCAATATAGAGACATATGAGAAACCGACCTGTTGGTTCGGGCTTAGCGGGCTTAGCCTTTGCCAAATTTTGAATGGGGCCCGTCCTGAAGCCCGAACCCGATACGGTGTATGTCAGGCCCGAAGCCCGGCCGTGAACAAATCTAATGAGAAAGAAGAGTAGGAATAAAGGGTTTCCAGAACACATAAAGTCAAAATCTACAACACTCTTGGCTAAACCTGCCAAAATTGTTACAGTCCCCTATTACCACACAAGGTTTTTGTATCAGTTTTTGAATCCACCGATATGCTAAATAGTGGGAGTTATGACATGTGGCCACTTTTGAAGGATGATGTCCTTCTTATAGAGATGTTCTGTCTAAAAATTTCAATAGAAGGCCTCATTTGTTTTTCAGTAAACCGGGATGGGTAATTTGGTCAATGCGAGTCTCATGAAAAAGAACGATTCTAAGGCAGCTCATGTATCTGGATAAATATTACCCTTCGTCCAATTGGTAAATACAACATTACCTCTTCAAAAATGATATTTTTATGGATAAAACTGTTATTATTTAATTTTACCTAAAAAAAGAAATAAACACTAATAAATATACTTATCTGAAAAAATATTTACCTGAATAAGTACATTAACCAAAGTAAATTACTTCATGAAAAACAAACTAGGCCTAATTGTATCACTACTTCCAAATGTACACGTATCACACACATTGAAGTTTGAACTTCGGTACCACAAAGGCCCAAATAGCGGAACTGCATGCGTCAAAGCCTGTCCAATCCATAGAGTTGACCTTTTGGGGGGGCTGCAAATTGGGCCCATCTAAGAATTTTGTTGGATCCAGAAGCCTGAATTTTTATTAGATGGGGCTGGTGTTCTATAACTGTAACCCAAGCTTACTAAAAACTTGTATAAGCAAGTATAGTCCATTCGACTTGTGCCCTAATCAAATGTGATGCCCATCTAATAACGCAAAGTGTTGTCAAATCCACTGGTATCGCCAAGGAGGTTGTCAGTGATTGCTGCTTTTGCTTTATTGATTTGGTTGGTAGAGGGAGAATATATGAATGGAACATACGTTGAACCAAAATAATAACTACAGAAATCGGGTATCACCATGGCCCCCATTAAGCCGTACCAGAATAGGAAAATGTAGTTACAGAATGATCACGGCGACATGCCCAACTATGGACTTCAAACAGAGTGGGGCGATGTGGGGAAGGTCTGCATGTGATCTATCCAACTTGTTTCATTGAGAACAAAACCTATGACCCAAAAGATTCCTTTTGCTCCATTCCTCTGTTCAAACTTCAAACCAATGAAGCTGTGGTTTTCCTCTATCTGTTCCATCATCACTTACATCTTTACCTTGAACAGCACTTGGGAATCCTAAGAAGGATCAGCCTTTGCTCTGAGCTATGGGGCCCTATAGCTTGCCACCTGGCCCATATTAGAGTCATCAGTACCCAAAATTATGAGTTTTGATCTGCTCCTCACGTAGCACTTCTCACACCGATCTCATAGCATGTATCAGCTGCACATTGGGAACATAGGAGTGCAATTTGGGCTTGGGCTGGCCCATTCCGAGCCCAAACCGGCCCAATTCAGAATTTTACTCGGGTTGGGCTCGAGCCCAAGGAGTCGAGGTTTTTTATTTTTTTTGGCCGGGCTTGGGCCTAGCCCTTATGTAGCCCGAACCTGGAATGAGCCCGGCCCAACTATATACATTTATACATATGTACGTATATGTAAACGTTGCATATATATATATATATATATATACACATACACATACACACAAATATATGTATATATATTTGCATAAATACATTTATATATGTATAATTTTAGATTGGGTTCGTTGACTAACATGAGCTTGGCTTTGGCCCGAACCTAACTCAAGTGCATCAAATTACAATGTGGGTTGAGCTTGGGTTGAGAAAATCAGGCTTGATGATAGGTCCCAATCAAAGCTATAAATGAAAGATTATTCTTCTTAAGGTGAGAATAAAACCATAAAATTTATTTAACTTCCAACTGCCCATCCTTGTGGTTGGATGGTGTTTAAATACAAGAAATTCTAACTGTCTACCACTGAGATAACCTCAAAGTAAGGGATTATCCTTCTAACTACATAGTTGATCCCTATGCCATCTCATAATAACAAATTAACAAGAATAACAAACTAACCTATTTGGCCGATTCTCATGCCATGGCAAACTAACAATCTAACCTCTTGACCGGTTCTTGTGGCTAGCAACCTGACCTCCTTGACCGATTCCTGCTATACTGGGCCATGCATGATGGCTTTTATTCTACGTTCTTTGGGTTGCACGTAGGCACCCTGCTTTTATTCTACGTACTTTGGATTGCACATAGGCACCCTGTTCGACCTTCGTGGCCTATCACTTGACCTTGGGCTTAGTCCTAGCTCGAGTCTTAAACCCAAATTTTAGGGCTGGGCCCAAGTTGACTTGTATGCACATATACATGTGCATTGTAATTTGATAGGAGATGTTCCCGTTACAAGGTGGGATGTGGCTGTGAAGTTGGGGTGAGGAGTGTTTTCTGAGGAACAGATCCCGATACAAAATTATTATAAGGGCGACTTCCTCTGGTTTATTGGAAGAAGAGCAGAGCAAGGGTTTACAGGTTGGTTTAAAAGATTCTTGCATGTTGCATGACACCCGGTTCGTAAGCATGTACTTTTAGTGTAGTTTGTATACTGTATATATCAACTTACTTACCTTGGTTTAAAATCTTTTTCTGTTTTGTTTGGTGAATGTAAGATTACTACACTAAGTAAATTGTTTTTTTTTTCAACCAAAATATGGTTTGAATTAATTTCTACAAACCCCAATTCTTGCTGCATGATCTCATTCACCATTGATATGGGGACTGAAATAAACAAGTTCCCCATATCAATGGTGAATGAAATAAACAAGTTGCCCAACCAGCTTTTTCATTTTTGCCTTCTTGTGGGAAGTAAAACGAAAGATAATATTTGGATGGACCAACCAAATAAGAATGGCAAATGCAAATATTGAGCCGGTGGTTAGGGCTTTTAATGGATTCCAAAAGTCCGATACCTGATTTGGTTTGGCTTTGAATTTGATTTTTCCATTTTTGGATTTTAGAATTTGTATTCGATTAATAATTGGATTTGATGTAGATTTGATTAAAATTCAATTTTAATAAAATTTATTGTTTTTATGTTATATATATGTATATAGTATAATTATGTATATATTTGCACAGAAATATTATCTATAATTATATAAAATTTATAATTGATCATTTTTATTTTTATATTTATTATACTTTACAATTAATTTTTAAAGTTTTATGTCTTTTTAAACACAATGAAATGAATGCGGATTAAATCCAAATGTGATCCAAAGTCCAATGTCAGAATTGGATTGGATTCAAACCCAAGATTTGATAATTAAATGCCGATGTAAATGTAGCTTGATTTGATTCAAATCCAATCTGATTGCAGCCGTGGTAGACTGGTAGTTAATGTAAATTGTTTTTTCTAGACAAATTATAATCATGTGGTTTGAAAACAAATTGTTTTTTAAAATAAAATACACAAAACATGTTATTGGTTGTAAATGTGTTTTCTTCCTAAAACTAAAACCAAAAAACAATTTTTTTTTTTTATTTCTAAAACTTGTTTTTGCTTTAAAGCATACAAATATATATCATCATGAAATTATCTTTCATAAATCATGCAACATCTGTATTTCAATATTGTTTTTTTATAAAAATAGAAATTGTTTTTTTTTTCACAACAAAATCAACTTATTTTTGCTTCTTAAACTGAAAAAAAAAGGAAAACGTTTGTTTCATTATTTTTTTTGAAGTACAAATACAAAATAATATAAAATATAAGGTTTTGTACTCTAGATATTTGCATTTATACTCCTTTTAAATTAAGCTGAAGTCTCAGTTTGGAAGGAATACAGATATAAATACATACAATACAAATATATACAAAATAATACAAAATATAAGATTTTGCACTCCACATATTTGTATTTATACTCTTTCCGAGCTGAGCAGAAATTGCAATTTTAAAAACAAATGAAGACAAAAAAACATTCACATTAAAAAAAACCTCCCAAGTGAGTTCACTGAAGGTGTGATGAAAGCAAGTGAGCTAGTGGAAGTGACTAGAGAGTAGTGGTGAAACTGAAAATGATGGTCTAGAAAGAAACATCAAAATGTTATCGCTGATCTCTGTTCTGGTTAACAAAAAATGTCATATATATAATGCCAATATTGGCATTGGCTTTACGTCCTAGGACATAAAAAGTAAAATTTTAATATTTTAATATCATCATATAATATTAATGAATGTGTTTTGATCTTTAGATCCAATTTATGATTTTTTAATGGGAAATCCAATCAAAGAGTTCATGCATCAAGGAAATACATTGATGGTTGAAATGGGAGTGCATCACTTGTGATGGGAGATTGGAGTTGGTCCTTACAACCTTTTTTGCAGCCGTGCAAATCATGGTTTTCAAAATCGGATTGGAAAAACCGGAACCGGTTAGGTGATCGGTTTCGGTTATCCCAAAATTGGATTTTTCATAAAAACTGTTGATTTTGGTCAGTAAACTGCTGACTTGAGTGGTTAATTGTTCAAATTATTTGAACCGTTTGAATGATTTTGATCAGTTTTAATTTTTTTTAACTTTTTTTTGTTAGAATGGACTGACCATTCGTCGAAAGGTCAGCCTGTTCGACCCGATAACCCAACCCTTGACCGATTCAGTCTCCAGATTGTTTTTATTTTATGGGAGATATTCGCAATGCACATTTCCAAGGGACTGAACAGCTTAGAGAAATAAACAACACTAACTTAGCCAAAAAGTCAATTTTGCAGCTCAATGACACTTTTTTTTTTTTTTTGGCTTTATGGGGTTTTCATCAAATATGGCTTCTTGACTTTTCATGTGGGGTCTACTTTGTTTTGCAAGGTGGGCCCTACATGCATGCTAAGAAGACATGTTCATTGTAAAATCCAAAAGATTTCAAAATTTATTTCAGTTAAAAAGTTGACTTTCTAACGAAGCTAATTTTAGTAGCAAATATAAGCACTTCAATGAAACCTTGAACCCACACCCAAAGGAAGTTTGGATCTATTGATTACAATACATTGTTGGTCACATTCATTCAACTACACATGAGAAATATCTTTTGTACTTTATAGGCGTTTGCCATGTGAACATTGCATAGTTTTCTCATAAAAACAGTGTTATGCATGGGCATGTAGAGTTGTAACAAAAAATGGTGCTTATTTTTTGTTTGGAATTGGTGATGACATATAGGCGTTTTATGAGAAAATAATATTGGTTTTGTTTGGTATCAGTGCTGGTAGCAATGTTTTCAACATTGACTTATATTATCCAACGTCCAAGATGATGCCACATCATTACATTGTTGGCAGCAATACACCATTTTCTTAAAAAACATTGATTTATTACCAAAAAAGATTTCCAATATGTGGTCTAGAACAACTTATTATTTTTTGAAAAAAAAAACAATACCAAACATGAGAGCGTTATTAGAAACACTGCTTCTCTGACACCATTTTCTCAGAAAACGACATTGATGCCAAACATTCACTTTATCTCGCTCTAATATATATCGTTAATGTTTCAGATATATTGATGTGTTAATATTAGATGTAAATTCAATGTTAACACATTAGAAGTTCATTTTTATCACTATTTTCAAAACCAGGCCGAACCGGACGATCAGACCAGAAAAATCAGGAACCTTCCGTTTTTCTCCAAAACCGTTGATTTTGGCAAGTAAACCGCTGAACCAACCAGTTAACCGTTCAAACCATTCAAACGGTTTTAACTGTTTTCCAAATTTTTAAATTTTTAAATATTTTTGTCAGAATGGGTTAATCGTTCGAGTGGTCCGAACGACCAGACCGTTCGAACCGATAACCAGACCCCTGACCGGTTCGTTTTTAAAAACCATGATTTTGATAATAATATTGGAGTTGGGGATTTGAAAATCACATAAGAATGATGGAAATATTATTTATATTAATTTAATAAAAAGACGTATATAAATTGCATTCGAATATTCCAACAACATCAATAGATAGAAGTGGTTAAAAATTAAATAAAATTTAATTTAAAAAGATAAGGAACACTCCTTAAACACTCCACCCCAACGAATATACCACTAAGATTGTTGATTAAAAAGAACGAATATACCACTAAGATTTGATTCACTATATTCTCGTTTAATCAGAGAAAACCTATGACATGACTAATGAGCGCAAGATCCAAATTCGATCAACGGTATATGATCCATGGCGGTGGGGCCGCTTGAAGTATCATTGACGGGAAAGAATGACTGGCCCACACCCAACCTATCTAAGCGAACGCGGAAAGCAATGAAAACAATGTTGAATTGTAGTGAACGAGGACGTCCGTGAAGGGAGGAGGGAAACGGAGTCAAAGGAAGAAGAGGAAGAGATCAGACCATGAATTCAGTCTGTAAGCATGAACTGAATAGTTACTGAAAACCCTAAACAAATTAGTCTTTCACTTTTTCCACTCTGACTGCCTTTTTCTTGCTTCTTCGCATCATTTTTGGTTGGAGTAGATTCGACCACTTTGATCTGTGCAATGCTGGACTGTTTTCGAGTTGTTGAAAGGATCTCTTTTCGTTTGGATCGTTGCTATTCGTATCGATGGTTTTTGGGTCTTTTTTCTTGATGGTGGAATGAGGATTTTGTTTTTCGCAGCTGATTGTTCTTTTTGTAGCTTTTTTTTATCGGTTGGTTATTTTAGTTCTGTCGATAAGTTTGTTTGGCTTCAAATTCTCCAATGAAATCTGGATTTATTTATTTTTTTGTCTGTTCTTTTTTTTTTCCTGATTGAAAGTGCTAGCTTTCTGAACACCTTCGGGAAGGTTCCTTCTTATTTCGTGGCATTTGGATTATATGACGGTAAAAGCCGATTACGTACTTGTGTGTGACTGTTGATAGATGGCCTCAAGTGTATGACCGGATATGGTTATAGGTTGTCAACGCCTTGGATTTTCCGATCGTGCAAATGGTTTCCCTGGAATTACCAGATTCGGTGGCGGGTTCATGGTGACTGCCGGTTCTATTTAGGGGACAGGGTAGTTTTTGTATTCACCCGTTTGTTTAGCACAGAAGTTCAATGTGTAGTTTCTAGGATTCTTTGATTGTGGAAAAGCTCTTAGTTATTGGTTGCACGATATTTTGGTTGATACTGGATATTAAAATGTTCCGGTTGTAGTGCTATTTTTCATTTTGAAGTTGGAGCATTCCCTTTTTCAACAGGCACTAAAATTTTTGACAGTGGAAAAGGTTAATAGCTTAATAGGTTTGCACCGTATTTTGCTTACTCTGGACATGGAAACGCTTTAGTTGCTGTTCTATGTTTCTTTTTGAAGTTAGAGCATTCCTTCTTACAAGAGATGCTTGTTATTTATTAAGGGGAAGGCATCCTCCCTCACAAGCCAAAAGTACTATTTGTAACCACTAACTACATTTGGCAATAACATGGGCATGGCTCCCATAAAGCTGCAGTATTGGGAACTGTTCAATCTATAGGTGGTTACCTAAGAGGTTGCATCAATAAAGAGTTGAGACATACTAGATCATTAACCATCCATTCAAAGACATGGATTTTTATTTCATTATTTGCCTTCTTATCCTTTTCTTTTGTCCAAAAGAACACCTGATGATTACAGTCATTAGCTCAAGTTGATATTTAAGCTATAATATTTCCTTTTGTGCACATATAATGCAGGTTCCTAACTTCAACATGTGCTTCATGTTTTCTCAAGGCCAGGACTTCAGATTATTCTTCATATTCTTACAATATTCTGTATGGTTATAATGATTAATTCAATATTGAAATTGGATTTTCTGAAGTATTTAAAATTGAGAAGTGTAGCTAAAGCACAAGAGCATCCTATAGCCTTAGGTGGAAGGCAGGGTTCAGGTATGAACAAAATCAGGTGCTCTTTCTAAAAAAGAAGACAAAAGGAAACTTTTTTTGATAGGTAAAAAAAGGAAACTTTAATATGCAAATCTAAATTATGTGAAAAAAAATATTTCAAAAAATTCTCTTAGTACAACTGATTAAAGGTTTTGTTATTAACATGAAGGTTTTAACATTAAGTCAAAGTCATAAATAGGTGGAATGATTTGATTTTAATGCATCATAGGTACACCCTGCAATATGGTAAATTACATCAAATTCAAGGTTAATCAAAAGATATAAGCATCCATACTAATGCACACTTCAATTCAGACTTCAGGCAAGGTGCACTTGACAAAATGAACCTCACCTGTGAAGAAAATAATTGGTTCATTTCAAATTTGCAGGGCTTGTCCCATTTGTATTTCTTTTGCTCCTTGAGGAATGTGTTGGAAGGCCTTTTTATCCACTTCCAAGCAAAGTAGCTGAAAGTAATAAACAGCCCCTGCAGACGTTTCGCCCATATAATATTGCACATCGAGGATCGAATGGAGAGTTTCCTGAAGAAACTGCACCAGCATACATGGTAAATATCAATAAATAAGTCATAATCAGTTTCCTTATTAGTCTGAAATGATATAAGTTGCTTAATGAGTTGACACAATTAAAGACTGATTTTGTTGAACATATGTAATTGACTTTGTCTGTTAAACAAGTTAATTTGAATTATTGTTTTTTAATATGGTAATGAAATTGCTAAGCTGTCTTTAAAAATTTGAGTGCATTCCTTTTTCTTTATAACCAATGTTAGTTTGTTCTTCCATGCCACAGAAGGATGCATATATACTTTTGTTTGTTTGTTCTTTATCTCTTTACTACTGTAGAAAGAACAGGCCCCTAAAATTTGGTGGGTTCTTGCAGAGAGCTATTGAAGAAGGTGCTGATTTCATAGAAACAGACATTCTTGCCTCTAAAGATGGTGTCCTCATATGCTTTCATGATGTCACCCTTGATGATACAACTGATGTTGCAGAACGTAAGGAGTTCGCAAATCGTAAGAAGACTTATGAAGTCCAAGGGGAGAACATTACTGGCTGGTTCAGTGGTATACAGACAAATGCATATTTCCCTTTTCCTCATGCTTGAGATTATTTTTTCTTCTTTGTAAGGCTAAACCACTAAAGATAAAATCAAATTGTTCTGATGTCAGGTAGTTAATGCGTTTAATTGCATAATCTGTAAATAACACTTGCTCTTTTTTGGGTTTTTAAGTGTAATTAATTTACTGCTACTGTGACACCTTCTATAATGTGTTTTATCTAATGTTATAATTTATTACCTACTGCTTATATTGTTTTGCCTATAAAAAGTATAAAAATAAAGCCATTATCCAATGTTGGTCCCAGCTATCCAGGGACCAAAGCTGGTTAGCTAGATAAACTAAATAGTGTTTTGACTATGTGCAGTTGATTTCACACTACAAGAGTTGAAGTCATTAGGAGTGAAGCAGCGGTACAAGTTCCGGGATCAACAATACAATGGTTACTTCCTCTCTGTATAGAACTTAAATCGTTTTCTTGTCTTAATTAAACAGTGGAATATAAGATACTTGAAAATTGAATCTGTATTTCTGATATGCTGTATGTATTCTGACATATGAAAATGATTAAAACATATCAGGAGCATACTCCAGCTCAATGGTCTGTAGCTTGGACCTTGTTTTGATACACATACACAATATGTGCAGTGAATTTGATATCAAATAATTCTGTCACCGGCTAAGAAAGATTTCTCTAGATGAATGATGATTGCTATAAAAAATGAATACTAAGTGATGATTAATACGATTATTCTCAAGAATGACTGGGGAAGTTATGCCTCCATGATTTAGGTTTAGCAAAGTTTATATCTCTTATATATATTTTATTTTTGTATTTGCCTTTTCTATTCTTTCAATAATTAATTAACAGAATGATGGTAGAGAGAAAAGAGAAGATACAAAATGTAGAAAGCAGGGGCTTCAGCAGCATACCATACTAACCAAAGCTTTTACCTCAGCATATAATGCATTCCTTCCTACCCTGATTTGTCAAGCTCATATGCCATGACATCAGCCTCCATTAGAACAAAGCAAGGCAAGATACTAGTGGAAAATGCTCTAATCTGGACTTAGCAAAGGATATGAGATTGCTTCTAAGGGTCTCTATCCTTTCCATTCTCCTATTGAATGATTAGATTCCTCCCTGTTCTTTTTGATAACCAAATTACATTGGTATCCTATGTACTAGGGCAATAATATGTAGAACATCTGGATAAAAATCAGTCTTTCCTGGTGAACCGCGGTCAGAAAATGGTGATTATAATTTATAACAACTATTCCCTATTCACTTCACCATGACTCCTGTAGTTTCCATGGGCATGTTCCAAATGTTTATTGATCAAGATTGCCTCAAGTATAAAGGCTCTTTTATTCATAGGGCACCTGTACCTCTGGATGTTGGTACGAATCTAATGTGTAGTTTTGATACTCAAGAATATTAGTGGTTACTACATAATTAAAACAAGATTTAGTATAGTACAATAGACATTTTACCAACTTCTTGGTGGTGTCTCATCTTGGTTGCACAATGACACTTGTATTTTAATGCTTGTGCTGTACATTCATTGGTTAGGTGCAGCGGTGGTTACTTTTCTTTTGTTTCAATGTATTATACAGGGAAGTTCTCAATTATTACATTTGAAGAGTACATTTCTATTGCACTAGATGCACCCAGAGTTGTAGGGATCTATCCAGAGATCAAAAATCCAGTATTTATCAATCAGCACGTGAGTAACTCTTCTTGTAAATGTGAATAAGAAATTGTTGGAAGGATGCGGGTTATTTAGTATTGAATGGTTTTCAAGGAATGAAGGCATTGTGTTCAGATGCTTCAATTTATAGTCACTAACAGATTTATCTGGTTGAGTGGTTCTATGCTTCTTATTGAGGGGCTTACCCTCAAGAAAATTAGGTTATCCCTGGAGGAAACTTTCAGTTTCATTAGAACATTTTTTTATTTTCAGACATAATCTTACCACCTTATGAATAATAATTTGGCATGTCATTGTGAGCAAGATTTATAGATATCATGTAAGCATAATGCTAAAGCTTCTATTTTCAACAGGTCAAATGGGCAGATGGGAAGAAATTTGAAGACAAGTTTGTGGATACACTTAAGAAGTATGGATACAGAGGTTCATATATGTCAAAAGATTGGCTGAATCAACCAGCATTTATCCAGTCATTTGCTCCAACGTCACTCATTTACATTTCAAACCTGACAGACTTGCCAAAAATCTTCCTAATTGATGATGTGACTGTGCCAACACAAGACACAAATCAGGTTTTCTGTACCTCTTCTTCTTATTATTATTGATAAGTTATACATTTTCTTATTTAATGGCTCAAAATAGAACAACCATTTTCTCAGTTCTGAAACAACTGGAGTCTGAAGTCAACATGGTTCATAGTTTTCACCACTTTGGGTCGCATGGCTTGCTATATAACTTGCTTTGGACTTTCCACATGATACTAACAATAAAACTTAGATCTGTTTTTGAAGCTTACAAAGTGTAATGCAGAAATGTATGAGATCTTAGAGGCATCTACCAACAGGCATAGCCAGCACCCAGCAATTTTTGTAACTGGGGATAGAGATTGACTCAGTAGTCAGTAAGTGGTGCACAAGTTGGTCCAACTGGTCAGGCTAGTGATCTGACCTAAATGGAACTGCTGATATCATCTGTACTGAAAAATAAAAACAGTATGAACCAAATGAAATACACTAAGAGTGGAAAAGTTATTTTTTACCCATTTCAGTGAATTAACTGGCTTTATCTAATGGATTTTTCAGTTCTACTGGCCCACCAGTTCAAAGTTTCAATCCAGTCTAGTATACCTGATATGGGATCAGATCAAACCAATGGGAGGCTAGTCAGCTTAGGTATTAAGGCAATTATAGTCACCCATATAGCCAATATACGAGGGATTAGGACATCTACTGTATTTCCTAGGTAAAAGATTGGATTCCATCAGATAATTCTGAGCATCAGGTCATATTGCATATGGTCCCAAAAAGATTTTACAAATTCTGTTCAGTCATTTATAAGGAGAATTTTGGAGCCAGAGATCTCATATAGTCCTCTTTAGTTGTGATCTACAAGACTTTTGCATTGGGTTTTTTTTTTTTTTTTTATTTTGGCAATCTTGTCTATAATGATTAAAACATTCTCAATGTAGAGCCATGTTTGAAGATCTCTCTACCTTTATAAAATGTGCTTATGATCATATAATGGAAGAATTCTCCTAGTATTAATGTAAAATAGCAAAACAAACAAAGTTTGAAGGAACAAAAGGGGGATCTGGTATCTGAATGGTTCATTTTGTTAATGTTCATATTCTTAATTTGATTAGCTATGTCAATATACTGGAGATAGTTAGCTATGAAAAAGAAAGGAAAAAGCAAGTTGGTGATTACTGTGATTGCAGTTCCTGGTCTGTTTTTTATTCAATTTGCTTCTTATGATAAAGGTTTCAATTCTATAATTATACCTAATGGCATGGAGTGGCAATTTTTTTGTGCAGTCATATTGGGAGATTACTTCAGATAGTTACTTTGAATTCATAAAGGAGTATGTGGTTGGAATTGGACCCTGGAAGGATACAGTTGTCCCTACAGAAAATAATTATTTGTTAACACCTACTGATCTTGTAGCTAAAGCACATGCGCATGACCTACAGGTGTGCAAATCTTCCCACCAGAACTGCAGTCATTGTCTTGATCTCATGTGCGCATTCTTAACAAATGACATTTAGTTGCCGGTCCAAATTTTGTATCGGCCCCTGGATAGACCACAGGTCAAAGGTCTTTTTTTGGAAAGCAATCAGTTGTCAAAATAATAAATAAAACAGTGGAAATGGCCTATAGTTATTACTTATTACGGCCTACCAAAGAAGTGCCTTTTTGGGTCTTGATCCTGGCCATCCTAATTAGACCACCTTCCAGTTTGGCAGGAAACAAAAGGCTTGCTCTATATTTGATGATCATAAGTCATAACAGAACAACCGTTGCATCAATTTAAGATGTTTGGTATATGGTTGAAGCAATTTTTTCCAGTTTTTGTGCACCGGTCTGAAAGGGCTTGATAGGAGGAGGTTCTAACAATGATTCCATTTCAGGTGCACCCATACACGTACAGGAATGAGAACATGTTCTTACATTTCAACTTTCATCAAGACCCATATGCAGAGTATGATTACTGGATAAATACCATTGGAGTCGATGGACTCTTCACAGACTTCACAGGGAGCCTACATAATTTTCAGGAATGGGCCTCTCCTTCTCCCAATGACGGCAATGCAACCAAGTTATTACATAAGATTGCATTGATGATCTCCACCTATAGAAAAGTTTGAACAAATATCTGTCTCCTGATTGTAAGTTCCATGCTAGTTATGTTCCACATTAAGTTGCTAGTCTGTTTATAGGATAGCTTCATTTTCTCTTTTTCCATTGCTGGTAGAAATTTGTTATTCAATGTTCAGAAAGCAGTCTGTAAAGTTACTTGCAGCTTGAAAAGCAACTACTATTTCAGTATCTGACATTCTGTTTCCTTGAAATAATGCAATTTCAAACATAATTCCTTCTAGAGTTGGTTTCTCTAAATATAAAGAGAACAAATTTCAGACTTGGAAAGGCATAGCAGTAGTGCATCACAGCAGACCATCAGATTTTGAACAGAAAGGGTTTAATACTAGTATAAACAGTGTTTGCATCCCTGATCAGTAGTGCAGCACAGCAAACTTGGAAAGGCTTATCAGTTCACAACCCTGATTACCGATTAACAGTGTTTGCATCCGCCACTTCCTAAAGAGGATAGAAGAGGAGGGGAAAAGAAACGGAAGATTGTGCATGCCTTGCCAAAATCTTTGTATTTCCCGGACAAATGAGTAAAATATGAGGAGCAAGCTTGTATTTGGAGCTACAAGACGGAATTTTAAGGCATCGATTACCTGAGGTGATCTTTGGTACCGTGGTGGTTTGTACCTTAATAAAAACAGTCGAATGACCTCGTTCTTAGTTCACATCTTTTGTGGCAGTGTGACCATCAAAAGATCTGGAAGTGGAGAGATATATTCTGTTTTATCACATACTAGCAAAGATGGATATGCACCATTTTTTTTATATGATGTGACGAGTATGCACCATTGAATATCCACAAGTCCTACCTCCAAAGCAAAGGTTCACTTTCTTGTTTTGTGCTTCTAGAACCAGTAGATCTACAATCTAGATGCTAATCTGTGTAATTAGTGAATCAATCATCAGAAAACATTTATTTTTAAGGTTGATCATTTGGATGAGAGATCAGGGAGGGTGGGCCTTGGCGCAAGGTTGGATTGCCCCATTGCGACTTGGGTTATCAGGGTTCAAATCTTGGAAACAACCTCCTTGTATATGCAAGGGTACGACTGTGTACATTTGCCCCTCCCTAAATCCTGGATTAATAGGATTATTGTGCACTTAGGGGGGTATTTTGTACTGTGGATGAAAAATTGGTGGATGTGGACTAGTCCACACCACACCTTATGGTAGGGACCAATCCACACTAGACCATAGTCTATAGTTCTAAATTGTAGATAGATTGTTCGGACTGGACTAGTCCACACCCATGGTGGCGTTCTGTAGGTGCACATTTTTTTATTCTATGTATCTCATATACATTTTATGGGAAATCTACACAATTGATCATAAATGTCCAATTTTTGCATTTTATATGGTTAATAAATTGAAAAAAAAATGCATCAATATATACACAAAAATTGCATTTTTTAAATAATTTTAAATATTAAAAAAATATTATTTTATTGATAAAATATAAATAAAATAAATAAAATGAGAGTAATTGGACCATTGTAACGCAGGTGCGTTACACTGAAATCTTCCCATAAAAACAGTCGAACTTGGGGTGTGTGGCCCATCCCTATCCATGTTATTCTGTGGACGAGGATCATCTATACATAGCAGAACACCATATCTTACCATGGACAGGACCAAAATGGTCTCGTCCATGATATTTACACACTACCGAATGCCACCTAGGCTACCCATTGGATGAGAGATCACTAGATCAATATGGTAATGATGCATGAGCGAAAGAGTCAAGATTAGAATTTTATGTATTTTTGGATAGTAGGGGTATTTTTGTCATTTTCAATTTTTTGTGGGGTCCAATAATAGGGTTTGATTGTCAAGTTGTAGTATGTTTATGTTTAAAATTTCAGTCATTGCATAAGTAGGATTAAAGTTATTGAGTCTTCTTTGAATTGAAGTAGGATATAACAACTTAGTTTGAGTCCTAATAGGATTGTTGAGTCTAATAGTTTGACTCCTAGGATTATTATGAGTTTAGCGTTTATAAACATGTATAGACGTTTTACACAAAGGCAATGAAATATATTTGAGTTTTCTTTAGCTTATGCTAGCTATGGGGAGTGATTCCCATGCCCTAAAGCCATTCTAGGCACCTTGTGAATGATTCTAAGTATTTTCTCTCTTCTTTCTCTCCCTATTTTCTCTCTAACCGTTACAGCCATGAATAGCCATAAAACTCTGATCAAGAAAACCATTCAACATTCTCTAAGGACTAGAATTGAGCTGGTCCTACATCAGTTGGTATCAGAGCTAATGGATTTTTCACTATGTTCTCACAAAGTGACTGATTCTATAGGCTTGGGGTATCTTCTAGACAATCTTATGGGTCTAGAATGAATGATTATTGGATTTCTGAACCATATGAAGGGTCTTTGGTTGACTTATTTGAGAAGATGGTGGAAGAAAACAGATCTAATAATGTTGGCTATGGGAATAAGGTTTTCAAACATGTTAGAAGATAAAGGAAAATATCAGATTTCAAAGGAAATGATAATCCACGAGCATTTTTTGATTGGGTTGCTGAACTAGAAGAATATTTTGATTGGCATGATATGTTTGACAAACAAAGAATTAGATTTGCACGAATGAAGCTGATGAGTCATGCTAAAGTATGGTGGAGAACTCTTGAGCAACAATTAGAAAATAGAAGTGATGATCCAATTAGTACATGGGTAGAGATGAAGAGGCATTTGCAAGAGAATTATATCCCACTAAACTTCCATGATGATCTATATATGGAGTTGACTAATTTTGAGCAAAAGAAGAAATAACATGTTACAATAAAGAACTTGAAGTCGATGGAAAGAAGGTACAAAATTGAAAAGAAAGTAGATGATTCCTTGCAAGTTTATGCTTATCCTAGAGTTGAAGTTGAGGATGAAGCTAAAGAAGAAGAATTTCAAGCTTTAGCAGTTGTAGATATTAAAAATCAAGAGGGTGCAGGCCAAGAAAAAACAGAAATTGTTCAAGTTTCTAACACCTGTGATCAGCTTGAGGCTAATGATCAAGAAAAAATAGAAGTTGAGCAAGCTAAAGAAATTCAAGTGCAAGATACAAATGTGTTGATTGTAGTATATCCTAGTAAGGAAGTAGGAAACTTTACCTTTCAAGTTCAGTTAGAACCAATTCAAGAATTACAACCTGGCATAGCACAAGTTCCACCAACATTAACAATGGAAGGAGTCCTAGAGATTGTTGAAGAACCAAGGATAGCAGAACACATAGAGATGGTGATTCCTAAACTAGAGGTTGAAGGAAAAGTTCCAAAAGTTGCAGTTGAGAGTTTGGATAAGTGAGGGGAAGGTTCATCACAACCGCTGGTTGATGAATCAAGTGTTCAAGAAACCAATGTTATTGGTGATTTAACAGAGGTGGTTATGGAGGGCAGTGTTTCAGAAATACATTTATTTCAAGATCCTTCTCTAGTTCTATGTGTGACATCTACTCTACAGTCCAAGCATGTAGTTGTAGGAAGTCCTACTCTTTTTGTAATTGGGGCATATCAACTCTTCATCCTCAAGTTCTTCAATACTTGAGGACGAATTTTTTTGAACCAGGGGAGAATGGTGCAGGAGATGAAGAGTCAAAATTAGAATTTTATGAAATTGTATTTTTGTATTTTTGGACAATAGGGGTATTTTTGGACAATAGGGGTATTTTTGCCATTTTTGCAATTTTTTATAGGGTTCAATAATAGGGTTTGATTGTCTAGTTATAGTTTGTTTATGTTTAAAATTTCAGAGTCATTGCATAAGTAAGATTAGAGTTATTGAGTTTTCTTTGAATTGAAGTAGGATATGACAGCTTAGTTTGTGTTCAACTAAGATTATTGAGTCTAACAGTTTGACTCTTAGGATTATTATGAGTTAAGTCCATAAATATGTATAGACATTTTATACAAAGGCAATGAAATATATAGAGTTTTCTTTAGTTTATGTTAACTATGGTGAATAATTCTCATGCCCTAGAGTGATTCTAGGCACCTTGTGAATGATTCTAAGTATTTTCTCTTATTCCTTCAAGAAGTTGTTACAACCATCAACAGCCATAAAACAAACTCTGATCAAAAAGACCATTCAACATTCTCTAAGAACTAGAACTGAGCTGGTCTTACATCAGGTAGAGTGGTATCACATTAAATATAAACATTTCATTTAAGCATTTCAAGTACCAATGCTAATACCAAATACAATACTGCTCAAACACTCAATCAATACCTAGCCAACATAAGTACCAAAATCCGTATCCATTGTCTCCCTAAAAGTTCGAGCCTGAACCTGGAGTGTTACCACAACCTGAAACTTGCTGCATGTTCTAAGTTAGGGCTGAAACCTATCCAACAACCGGCCTAACGGTGTCCTATTAATTTTATTTAACCTACAATGATACCATTAACAAGAACCTTCATCGGTCTTGCGTTGTGTTCCGTGGCCTAGAAGCGATGACAGACGAATAACGAAGCCAGCTTACCTACTTGCACACCCAACTGGATAAAGCAACTTGCAACGTTTTCATGCACTGTACGTAGGAACACCACCCTCGCGAATGACTGACTCAGAGTTCAGACCATCTACAAATTAGTCAAATCGGCCAACGGAGGAACCGGGTTGAGTGACAAACTCAATTCTAACCATGGTTTTTAAAATCGGACCGGATCAGATGGTCAGACCGGAAAAACCGGGAACTGGTCATCTGACCGGTTCTATTTTTCCTTAAAACCGTTGATTTTGGTCAATAAATCGCTGAATCGGCCGATTAACCGTTCGAACGTTTTGACCATTTTTCAATTTTTTTTTAATTGTTTTTTATTTTTTTATCAAAATGGGCCGATCGTTTAGATCGAATGGTCGGATAATTTGAACTGGTAACCGGAACCTTAACCGGTTCAGTCACCGGTTCATTTTTAAAAACCATGATTCTAACAAGCTACATGTGAGTGTGAATAGTAGGGCTGCAACTTTTGTTGAGTTTGAAAAAGTGAGATTAGGTTGGATTAAAAATTTGGGTTAGTGTAGGGTTGAAAAATATGAAACCATTTAATTTTGAGTTGGTTAGGGTTGAGGCATTGACCAACTCAAACTTAACTTCATATTTGGATGTACAAACATCATATAAACATGTGTTTAGATATGTAAATGCTTATGCATATATATATAGGGGCTGAGGTAAGATTTTTTATTGGTAGGGGCCAAAGCATAATAAGCATAAATAGGGGAGGCCAAAAGATTGAAAATATGAATAGGAGGGCCAAAATATATGTGAAATTTAAATAGCTATTATAGGGAATTTCAAGCATAGGGGGGCCATGGCTCCCCTCTGCCACCCCTGGCTCCGCCCCTGTATATATACATCATTTATGGACACTTTGAACCATATACATCTTTTAATTTTAGCTTTTATTTCAAAATTTCACAGAAAACCTTGTTTTTATGTTATTTAACTATTAAAAAAGAGCTTTCAGAAAAATCTTTAAAAAGGGGTATTAATATGGTACCCCAAAGATACTCTCTACCTTGGTATTGGGGTTTGGAGGAGGAATACCCGTCATGTAGACACTACTGAAAAATGCTTTATATATACATACACACACACACACACACACACATATATATATATATATATGTATGTATATATGTATGTATTTTTTTTCCCTACAAGTATTTGTGTTTATAAATGTGTGTATGTATTTGATGTATATTGTATGTCAAGGCAATTTTTTTAAAACATGATAACTATGTTCCTTTACATGCAATAATGCTCAAATTAAATTTACCTGAACCCATGAATCTAAAAAATAAGAACATTTGGCTAAAAGTAGTGAAATCAGACCAACCCAAATCCAACATGAAGTTTTAGGATTGAGTTTGGATTAGGATTGGGGATTCAACAACTAGGGTTCGCTTAGAGTTGATCTCAACTCAATCTAAGAAGGCCCAACTTAAACCCCTAGTGAGAAATCTACAAACGGCTTACATGGATAACATGTTCCATCAAAATCCCCATCCTGGGAATGGAGATTTTCTGCCAACAAAATACATGCCAACCCTCTACCAACTTAATCTAACACGGCACATCTCATTATGAGACTGGGACCTGCCATAAAAGTGGATCCGCCATGTTTGAGATGTGCAGTGTAAGATGACATTGGTAGAGGAGTTGGAACGTATTTTGTTGGCAGGTGATCCGGGCCTTCAATTTCTCTAAGTGGTGAGAAGAAGTGGCCTCTGCCAATCACATATTTCTTCGTGATCTGAACATCCCCCATTAGGAATTTTGAAAAGGAATAAGGGAGTAGTACAGTGGCGTTGCAATTTTATGATAAATGCAGTGGTGTTTTGTTGTCATTGCATTTTTTATCGATAAAAAAATTATAATCGAGATTTTTTTACCTTAAATGTTTTGAATTGATCAATACAGACCAATATTTCTACCTAAAACAACAAATTAACATCTAACACATGCATTTTTCTACATGAAATGAATGCAACATTGCCAAAAGCTAGTTAAGGGGCAAAGACTCACCGAAACCACGTCCTTGAGAGTAATCCGTATTCTTCGCAACGTTCATATCAGCCTATACGTATCGTGTTGGTAGCTTCCCAATACACCCCATACAGGAATTGTATCGGATCAGCCACTGGTTCAGAGGGTAGTCGGGCCTTAAACCGGCCTGAACCGATTTTAAAAAAAATAAGTAAAACATAAAAAAAAACACCGATACAGCCCGTATCAATATTTAGAACCTTGATTCTTCGAAGTTTAGCTTTCATCTTAACTGGAGGAAAATGAAAATGAACTGACGTACAAATGTGCAACAGAGTTGTAAAAATTTGTCCATTAAGACTTAAGAGGACGGAAATCTGCATTCTTCTGCAGATTCATTTAGCAGGGTTTCCCCTCAGAGAAGAGCTTTGAAAAATAGCTGTGGAAATATATTACAAAAAAGGAATAAATACAACTCAGAAACCAAATCTCAGGGGATGCCAACAATTGGGACTGAGTGCAAGAGCACAAATTACAACTCAATTTTTACCTTCTAAAATGTCAAACGAATGTTAAAATCAAATTATGATGACCTGTTACCTAGCTAGCATGAGGGTGGCTGTAGTTGTTTCAACCGCTGAACGACTTGCTTCATTGTAGGCCTGATCGACAATGAATCAACAGTACACATAACAGCCAAGTGCAATGTCTCTACCAAATTATCATGGGGGCCTGAATCCCATAGACCTGCAGTGAAGAACTCCTTAGCCCTGCCTTGTCGCAGAAGCATGCATCCCCAGGCAACGATATTGAAACCATTCCCATAAGAAGAAAAGGATGGGTCCAGTGCTTTCTTATCTGAGATCAATTCCATGAGTACCACACCATAGCTGTAGACATCGGCCTTGTCAGATACACGGCAAGTCATTGCATACTCAGGGGCGACATATCCAAATGTTCCTGCTACACCAGTAGTTGCATGGGTTTCAGAAGTCCCCAGAAGCCTGGCCAACCCAAAATCAGATAGATAGGCATTATAGTCATTGTCCAACAATATATTGCTAGGCTTGACATCGCGGTGGAGAACGCGTGGCACACACTGATCATGTAGATATGCAAGTGCACGGGCTATGTCTAAAGCAATCTTGTGTAGTATCCTCCAATCGACAGCCCTTTTGGACCTTTCCTGTATAAATTTCTCCAAATTTCCACCAGGTAAATAATTGTATATCAGGAACATCTCTGATTCACTTGCATGGTAACCTATCAAAGTGACAAGATTCTGATGACGCATCCTCCCTAGGATTTTGATCTCTGCATGGAATTGTTGAACACCTTGGAAACGTCCAACTGAAAGCCTCTTTATGGCCACTAGAACTCCAGGAGAGATCTCAGCCTTGTAAGTGGCCCCGAAACCTCCACTCCCTATGCAATTACTTGCATTGAAACTACCTGTGGCCCGCACAACATTTTCATAAGTCAGTGGAACTCCAATGTCAGTGAATACTGTCACCTCCTTTCTTCCAGCTGCTCGGATCCTGGACCTTGGGGCACACCTTCTGGTGTATATGAAGAGAACAATAAGAGCGAAAAGAACAGAAACAATGGCTGATGCAGAAGCTATTGATGCAATCTCAATAGAACTGAATCCACTTCCCTTGACCACACCTCCTGGTGGAGGAGCTGTATAATTTAGTGGATCCTCGTTTCTTCCCTGCTGATCTGAAGACGAACCAGTTAGAGAGAATATGTGGCAAGACTGAAGAAAAGGGTTCCCAAGGACACTGCTGCATTTAATTAAATTATCATTCAATGGAATAGGCCCAGACAAATTATTGAAGGACACATTGAATTGATCAAGTGATGTCACATTAGCCAAACCAGGTGGGATCTGCCCAGAGAGTTTATTGTTGTTGAGAAGAAGATGAGTTAGGTTCTCCAAGGTCACCAAATCTTTTGGAATCTCACCTAAGAGTGAATTTGAAGAAAGGTCCAACACTTCCAAGGACCGCAACTGCCCCAAGCTGGAAGGGATGTTGCCAGTCAGGTTGTTACCAGCCAAAGAGAGATACTTCAGACCCTTCAGATGACCAAGACGTTCTGGAATCTGACCTTGCAACTGGTTCCAACCCAAGTAAAGACTAACCAGAGAATACAGATCCCCAATAGTCTGGGGTAATGAACCAGTAATTTGGTTCCTCGAGGCATCCAAAAGCATTAGAGAGCTGCACATTGTACCAATGTTCTCAGGAATTTGACCAGACATCCTATTGTTGCTGACATTAGCGATCATTGCATTCAAACCATCACACTTCTCAAACAGGTTTCCCGGGAATGGTCCTGTCAGCTTATTCCCACCAGCAAGAAACACATACACAGTTTGCTTCCCTATTCTTCCAGGTGCAAGTGGCAAGGATGGGAGGGTACCAGTGAAGTTATTCATACCGAAGTTGTGAAAAACGGCAAGACTGCCACTAGCTCCAAGAGATGGCAAGGGACTTCTAGTCCGAGTTCTACTTGTGAAAAAGGACAAGTACGCAGTGGATGAGTCATAAGCATTCAACGAGGGTATCCGGGGACAAAGACTACCTTGGTTGAATGTAGGGATGGATCCTGACAAGAGGTTATCACTTGCATCAAATACGGTCATACAAGGAACTGGAAGGTTTCCATCAAGCACTCCCGTCAGCTTGTTTGAGCTCAAATCAAGAAAATGAAGATTCTTGCAGCGTCGAAACAAATTTGGGAACTCTCCAGTGAAGAAGTTCTGAGCCAAGTTAACCATTTCCAAGCTGTTGCAAGCACCCCAGTCGCTAGGAATGTTGCCCTCGAGCGTTGCTCTTGGAGCCCAAATAATTCTGAGCTTTGGGAGGTTTACAATTTCAGCAGGGATGCCACCTTGAAAATAATTGAAATCATCATAAGCAGGACTAGACAGACCTAACGAAGTCGCCCCAGTTAGATTTTTCACGTCTGTCAGGGGATCATACAGATTTGAGAGAACGACGACGGACAATTCGACACAACCACCAAGTTCTGAAGGTATAGTTCCGCTAAGACTGTTCCTCGACACATCAAGCACTTGAAGCTTCAGAAGCCGGCCAAACTCAGGATGAACGGTTCCTTCCAACATATTGGAAAACAACAGCAGAGACCGCAACTGGTTGCAATTCGCCAGACTACGTGGAATGACATCGACCAGTAAATTTGCAGAAAGATCAAGATGTTCAAGATTCCGACAGTTGCTTCCAAGCTCAGCAGGAATAGACCCACCCAGACGATTAAGAGATAAGTAAAGCCCCTTTAACTCCGAAAAACTGCCAATAAACTGAGGGATCGTCCCATTCAGTCCATTAGCAGCTAAGTTCAAAATCTGCAAGCCCACACAGTTAGAAAGCGAGGCAGGAATCTCCCCCGCAAGCTTATTGAAACCGAGATTAAGGACCCGCAACCTCCTCAGGCCTCCAAATTCGAGGGGCAAGGTTCCAGAGAGCGAATTTCCCTCGAGATCAAGCACTTCCAACTTCTGCAAGCTCCAGATTTCAAGAGGAATCTCACCGGTGAAATCGTTGAACGGCAACGACAAAACCCTAAGCTCAGTGAGCTTCGCGATAAGCGGCGATAGCTTTCCCCCCAATTTTCCACCGCCACCGGAACAACTCCTGATTCCAAACCCATAAAGCGGAAACTGAGAAAACTTGGAACAAGAGAAAGCTTCCGAATTACCTCCGACGCTGTTGCCATCTCCGCCTCCCGTTATATTGAGAGCTAGAACCCTCGATTTGGAGTCGCAGAAGACGCCAAACCAAGAACAGTGATCAGAAGGACCAGCACCGCCACCAGAACTCCACCGGGAGAGAAGCCCTGAAGGATCCGAGACAGAGTTCTTGAACTGAAGTAGCACCGCTTTATCGGAATCAACCGCATCAGCGGAAGAGAATGAGAAAATCCAGAACAGAAATAACACATGGAGGGTCTCACGAAGCGAACGCCATCTTATCCGAGAGAACAACCGCATTATTCTCTCAATTGAAGTAACAAAAGCTGACAAAAACCCTAACCTCCAAGACCTCCAATAAAGAAAACCTCCCTCTCCCTCTCTCTCTCTCTCTCTCGAAAGAGAGGAATTCAAGTTGCAGAGCAGCTGAAGATAATTTTTGCTTCCCGAAACCCTAACCCTAGTCTGTGAAGAAAATAGAGAAAATTAGAAAAACAGAAAAAAAAGGGGGGGGAATTTACATGTTCTTTAGAAAAACGCGTTTTTTTCCCCTTTCAGTCCACACTGTTGCTTCTCTCCTGTTCTTCTTCTTCCCAATCTTTTGTTTTTCTTTTTTTCCTCCGCTTTTGTTTTTTCTCCTTCTGTGGCGGGGTCCACTAGACTTCCCCGGTAACAAGTGGGGCCAGACTGGCTATTACCAGTCAATTGATGCATCACCCCGTCAACGTTTAGTGGATTTACCGGCTAGACTGACCGGATAAAGGATTCCCCTAGGTTTTGCACACGTGGCCTTTTTGTATGGGTCCACGTGAGTTATCTGCTCGAAAAATTCCGCAGTTGGATTGTTTTGCCAGTGCAGTGCTTGATGCTTGATTAGGGGCCTTTGCTAAAAAGCGCTGGGGGTGTGACGATCGCCCTATTTTTATTTAACGTACGTATGACGAAAGCTTTGTTATTTATGGTCTTTTTATAAATAATTGATGAAGTGGCTGAATGACTTATTTACTAAAAGACAAAATAATAAGTCATTCAGTTCAATCATTTTAGCAATTATCCAACGGCCATAAGTCGTCCATACATGAGATATCACACTTCCCATTCTCAACACGGCCCCACCTATATCACCGCTGTTGTATACCCGACTAATACCCCCCAATTAAATACGAACATGTCAGTCGTTTGTTCAGTTTCGTAATATCATGTGATGTGATCTGCTTTCTAGTCGGGTCAGTTGAGAATGAATTGACATTTAATTGAACCCGGTCCACCCAACTAGCAACCCAAAAATTTCCACTCCCATTATCATGTAGGCCGACGATGATCTTTATAAATTGTAATGCGAGTGAAATTTTAGGTTGCTATTTGGGTGAACTGGGTTCGATGAGATCAGTTATACGACTTTTCACTGGGTGAACTGGGTAAAAACTCTTGGCTTTGTTCTTGAAAACAAAAACAAATGCCAAATCAGTTGTTTTCAAAAATAAATCCAACATGTTCTCAACCAAGCATGAATCCGGATTTGCTCCTCAGAGTGCTTGCTCCTCACACCAATCTTACAAATTGGGATCTGCTCCTCACACCAACCTTGCAGCATAAATCAGCCCTTTATTGAAAACATATCCCATTAACAATATACAGGTATGGGAGATATTCCTGATGTAGGGCTGAGACGCACTGTGAGAAGCAGATCCGATCTCCAATCTTACCATAGAACATAGTTTAACACAAATCTTAGATAATATGTCAGAGACCACTAAATACCAAGCAATCAGATAAGAGTCCTTTGCTTGTTTATAGCTCTTGTGACAAGCCAACCGCCTTAATATCAACATTCTTTTCGTTATTCCTTGGAAAAAAGCTAATTTAATTAGTATTTAAACAGCGCTGAGATTAGCAAGATTGACGCATTTGAGTGGCCGTGCTGAATTTTTTTATTAATGGTGGGCAACTAATAGAAAAATCTTGTCAACCGCCTGAATATGTAATATCTCTTACTCTTTTATAAGATAACTTCTGTGTTGGTAAACCATATCCATCCGATATAATAATTGTCGATCATTGACGTTTGAGAGAAAGCCATCCTGTCTGAATTTGCAGTTGCCATGTGAGTAGGAGAAATGGAATATCCACATCATCCATTTATGATTTAACTATTCCTAAGAGTTTGCTTGTTGACCTAAAATTCCATCTTTTGCATCTTAAAGAAATGGATTAACCATCCATCTTCACAAGTTGAACCCAATCAATGAGGTAAAGCCTCGAACTTTTCCCCCAATTATAGAATTTCAGGCATCAACTGACAGCCCATGTTTGCAATCAGTATCATTTCATTGATGGGCTGTTGGAAGATCAAATGGGTCTTCCGGTTAAATGCAAGATAGCCATTTAGAGACTAGCCCCCAACCAAACATGAATCCATCCTCCAAAAATGAAATCAAACCAAGAATTATATTGAGAATTAAAAAACGATACATGTCATTCCAAGGAACCCCTACACTATCAAAATTGTAAAACACCACCGATTTTCTGCTCTGATCACAATGAAATAATGATGGGTGGGTCCAACATTTGGTAGTTTTTCTGCAACCCATATTTACAAATATAAAAGCACTCCCAGCAATCAATAATAACCTGTGTTCAGCGAATAAAAGTCAAAAGGGCATGTAGTCTAGGAGCATTAGAATAGCCTGAAATAGCTGTTGAAGCATATATTACAGCAGAAACATGGAGCCATTACAAATTCAGTTTGGCCCGGACAGATGGTCCCAGAAAAGGATCATCTATCTTCTCAGACAGAAAGAGTTAGTATTAAATAGCAGAGGCCATACTTTTGAATGCAAAGAAGCCAAAACCATTTTCTATTCAAGAATCAAGACTCAAGACGCTTGTTGCATCTTAGAAATCTCCTCCAACAGAAATCTTGATTCAGCAGCAAAATCAAGAGGAGCATGATATTTAACTGTTATCCTTTGTTTTTTCTCGTTCATGTATTCATTCAGTGTGACACTAACTCGAAATAGATAGGGAACCCATGTAGCTTCTTTGAGTTTTAATTGATATGTATTCCCCTCTCCAATCTGACAATAAAACCAAAAATATTAGCGCACAGAACTAAATCTTGATATTTAGCATAGCAACTCAATAAAAGAAATACAATCCCAAGTATTACGAGTACTCAGCAGGATCGACCACTATAGCACTATCATGATAGCACCATCTAAGCCTTGTCCCATCTATATGGGATCAGCTACACATGCAAGGGCACAACACAACCACTAGCCTTAAAACCCCTAATGTTCCAATAAGAAAATTGAATAAACCCATTGCAAATCTATAGTCTGCACATAATACATCAAGCAGCACTTCAGCTCCACAAGTGCTGTCTGAACATTAACATCCCACAATCAAGGCGAAAGATGCATGGTGGTGTCTACACTACATGATTCCATATGGGTAGCGGCATGTTGTATCAAACCTTCTAGCATTAATATTTCCAAAAATCAACTAGTATTCAAATAAACCTTGTCACCATTAGAAGAAAGAAAGACAAATACAAATACCAATTAGTATCTTACCTGTGATTTCATCCCATCAAGCTCATCCGCAGAACATCCAATTATTTTCTCTGCTTGTTCGTTGAAAACAGAAAGCCAAGCCTCCCCACTTGGATCAGACACCTTCATTACCATTATATATCTGCAAGAGGAAGAGACAAAGCATTAAAATACAAACTCAGTAGATCACCATAGTGTGGCAAGATCATTGCTTAATTTTCCAACCTCAAGCTGCATTCCTCATCGTTCTTCTGACATCCCTCACACCAATACCCAGATCCAATAGCTTCAGTCACTTTCTTGTTACATGTCTTACAAGCCCGGTACCACATTGGCTGATCAGGCTTGACGAAACTGACATAAGCTTTTATGCTGAAAAACGCAGGCTGCACAGAACAAAACAATTCAAAGTTCATCATCTCCGACAAATTTATCCCAACTTAACAAATCTAAGCAAGAGTCGTTCAAACCGAGTTGAAATTCACTCAGTTGAAACTTCCAAGAAATTTATCACTAAACTTAAGGTTAAAAAGAAAACATTAAAGTCCCTCAGAACCGGCAATGCACACCTTATTATCCTCACCCAAGGATGGATTACTGGTAATATGCGAAAGGAAGACTCTGTCAGAATACATAGACCTCGTTCCATTCTTTGTACTAGAGATCAGACCAGAGCCAACAGAATCCATTGCAGTCCCTTTACCTTCAGATTCATACCTGTTGCAGAAAGGATGTATAAGGGCGAGATATACTGATATTTCAAAATAACAAACAAGATATGGTGCAATATCTCACCAAGATTTCAGCTTCTTTGATTCTGGTATATCTGGATTTACAAGCACGACACTTCTATTCAAAGATGATAAAGACACACCTGTAGAAACAATCAGAAAAAATCTAATAAGGCTAAATTTTTAATTGCTAGATAAGGGTACTTTCTATAATACAGCTCACAGAGCATTGATGATATACCTTGGAAATCTCCAACTTTAAGGCTTTTCAATGCTACAATGGGAGAAGTTTCCGCCATGTCCAGCAATTCCTGCCCCACATTGGTAGCAAGTTCATTCCAGAGAGATACCACAACAGTCTTCTTTCTGCAATTTAATACTCCAGATTCTCAGAACATGAGTCAGCTTGAAAGAAACCCAATACCAGGAAAATATATTCACTTACGATTCATCAGCAATTGTTATATCACGCTTCGGGATATTTTCATTGTTGCTCTTCCTTCGAACACTCAAGGTTGGAGAAACATTTTGGACAACTCCGATAATATCTGAATAATTAAAACAAAAAATAAATCAAAGGAGTTCAAAGGTTGAATCCTAAAAATGTTCAATCAGTACATAAGAATTCAAAAGGAGCTTACCGACGAATTCCTTCCCATTAACATAGGGACCTAGCTGATCAATTGGAACAAAGTTGAACTTTGTTTCAGGAACAAAAGCCTTCTCTCCGGCCGCTTCCTCCACCTCAGAGTTTTCATTCAAGGTCATCTCGTAATCATTTTCGACCGTCTTAAACTGCTTGTTAGCTACCTTTAGAGTTCCTCGGGAAATGTAATAAACCTTTCCCAATTCAAACTTGTCAAAGAACTTCTTTGCAGCGTCATTGAACATTGTTGCTTGTATTTGTGTACCCTGCGTTAAACAAGCAAATCTACCAGCTTATATATGCATTCATAAAGGTCAAAGGAGGCAAGAGCCCATACAGAAGAGTGGAAACAACAGAAAACGATTTCAGTTGAGCAATGTGAAGGACATTAGCAAACAGAAAATTAGAAAAAAGGCTGCTTACATCTTCATCAGTCAACTCAACGTTGAAGACGCAGCCTTCCCCTCTAGCATTTCTGTAAGTCCGCATGATGCCTTTATTCGTAACCCGAACCTTAATAGTCCAATTGCCTTGGTAAGGATTCAAGGAAACAAGAGGATGAATCCTTCGTGTCATGGCCAATCGCGCAGTAGGAGCCATGCTGAAGTTTCAAAGAAAACAGGAAGATCAATGCTCATATAAATCTATGCGAAACATAACAAAATGGAATCAAAACATCTTGTATTTTGAGCAAAAATCAAAGGAAAAAAACACCCCAGAGAGATCACCAAGAGAAACTCGATAAGAAAAACGGATAACCAATCTGTGCTTGAAGATCAAAGCCACAAAATAAAAGCGATTACTTGCAATCACGTGTATGGATGTTATGCCAATTGCAATGGGGATAGAAGAAAGACGGGATTACTCACTTTCCATGCTGTTCATGCAGAATCTGTGCAGCAGATTTGGCTACTATTTCCTGCTTTGGCTTCAATAAGATGCCAGTTTGTTCTCTCTTTATTTCACTTCCGATCTCCGATTTGACCACTATTTCTTCCTTTGGTTTCAATATAATGCCAGCTTCTTCCTTTTTAACCTCACTACGGATCTCAGTTTCAAGTGCAGGAGAAATAACTTCACATTTGGTCACAATCAAATACCTGAAACAGTTTAGATTCAACTAAATTTGTAAGTAGTAGGCAAGGGAACAGAACGTTCCTAAGCAAATAAAACACTTTCAAAGGGTTTGAGATGTGGATCTGGATCATACTTCTCAGATTTGTTAGGAATGACGTTGAGGGTGTAATCAAGAATACGGATGAGCCCAAGGTTCTGGATATTTCCCGACTCGATCTCAGCTGACAAGTTGGACGGAAGAATTGCCTTAACCTTAGTCCTTCCATCGCTAGCCATAAATCTGCAGACGTAAATAACCAAATATTCAGAAACCCACATGAACCGTTTCATCACTAGTTCGACAAAACAGAGAAAACGGAACAAACAACACGTTATTGCAAGATTCAGACAATAAACGAGGAGAATGCAAAGGAAGACTTACGTAAATCTGTTGCCGACTTGCTTGAGATCGACGACTTGAACAATGGTTTCCGCAACATCAGAGGGAGAATCGGGAGAAGGGTTTGCCAGTATGCTGGAAACGGCATCTGGGGTGATGGATTTCCCCATTTCGATTGTTCACTTTTCTCAGTTTCTCTCTTCGAAGGAAATTTTTGAAGTGATGGAAGAATAGCGAGGGAAGGAAATGGATACAGAATAGACAGAGAAAACGGAGGGAATGGGAGGCTCCTTATATGTATTTGACCACTTTGGCGGTAGGCAAAGTATTTTTGAATTTTTACCCGCGAATTCGCACATCGAAGCTTTGAATTTTTTTTTTTTTTGGGATTTCGCGGGGATTTCTCAACGCTCCTGAACAATTAACATGGGTTTCTAGACTTCCCGCCAGTGCAAATCGTTGCGAGCATTACCATAGATTGACTATTCTACCCTTTCCAATATTACAACTTACAGATTTGTAAATTTGTCCCGCACTGGTCCGTGCAGTACACGGATTCGATACGTTGATGGGATGATTCCAAAACGTCTAATTCCTTTTCTAATGTCAATGGTCTAATGAAGGGCAGAGGCTTGTTTATGGTTCTTGCCTTGGATTCCCATATTTGAAATTTCAACTCCTCAAGGTTCTAAATGTGAATTAAAGTTCTGTTTGAATAAATTTATGCTTTTTAGCTTTGGATCGTGGGAAACAAGAATGACCCAACAAAAGAAAACAGTGAATTGATGTCAAATTTACAGGTACGGTGTGGTTTATAACGGGGAGAGGACTAGTAGTAGGGGGCTGGAATTCAAAATTCTGCATTGTGTGTATCTGTACTTCTCCGAAGAAAATATTGGGAGCAATAATTATCTAAAAGACTAAAACCATAACCATAACACTTTTAAAGCCCAAAGCACAAAACTGAAAACTTTGTGCTTTGTGCTTTGGGATGTAAGTGGGTCGGAACGGATTTGAATTTGGTATTGACATTTTAGATTATCTGATTGGATCTAATATGACTTGGTCTGAATTTGAATTTTATCAGATCTTTGGATCTGATTTGATTCGGCTTGTTTTCTTTAAAAATATTGAATTATTAATAGAAAAGAATGTACCAATTTAAATAAAGAAAAAACGAAAAAATACAATTATTTTTTAATTATTTTCACCATATATACATGTTTTTATAAAAATTAATAATATAACAAATTTATAAAAAATACAATATAAATCAATAAATAGCATATATGTATTTTATATAAATTTATATTTATAAATATATAACACATCGGATTGGATCTTCTCATATCGGATAGGGGCGATTTGAATCCGATTCAATTTATGATTGGATTATAGGATCCAATCCAATCTGATCTGAAGATCTAACCAGAGATTATCCAAATTCAACCAAATATAATCGGATCATGATCTGGTCCATTTGCACCCCTGATTTAAAAGCACAAATTTGAAGCTCATCCAAACATAACTTGAAATTTGTTTTCAAGTGGGGCCTTGTTTGGGTAAACTTTTGGATTTTTTTTTTATCATTTATGTTGCTAAATAATTTGAAATACTATACAAAAAATAGTAATTTAAAATAGGGGTGCTCATGGTTCGATTAAACGAATTGCGGGCCTATTTTTGAAACTGAAACCGAACTGAAGCCAATTGGTTAATCAGTTGACCAGTTTGGTTTGCCATTTCTTTGGTTTTTATATTTATAATACATATTATAAAAATATATAAATATATAATAAAAACTAAATATATATAATATTATATTTTAAATAATAAATAATATAGTATATATTATAAATATATAACACATATTTATTAATTTATAATATATATAAAATATATAATATACATAAAATATATAGAAATATATGTATACCAGTCAGTACGATTAACCGTTGGTTTTCTATATTGATTAACCAAAGCTGGATTGATACCTTTGGTTTTTTTTAGAAATACCAGATCGGTTAACCGAATTTTCGATTGTTTTTTTTGCTCACCCTAATTTGAAATACTATCAATAAATATAAATATTACAAAATATTCAAAGTTATTGTATTTAATAAAAAACAATGCAAATTTAACATTTTTTGGATTTTTTAATTTTAACATTTGTCATCCACACACATGTATCTTACATGGTCGATTTGGAATTTAAACTTTTTTTTATAACATCAATTGTTGTAATTAATGAAAAAAAAAGGAAAAAAAATAATGTCAATATTCTAGCCCTGCGGGCCTGCATGCAACTTGAATGGATTTCACTAATACTTTTTTTAGCTTCACATCAAGGCGACCATCCCAACATTTAGTCCATCGATTTTCCTCCCCCCCGGCTTGCACGTGCAAAAAAGCTCTAATTAGGGGGTGTTAGGCAACATAATTGCTTTTGTCTTTTAAAACACAAAAACAACTGCTATTTTTGTTGATGTAGCAGCTGCTTTTGTCAAACAACTGTGAACTCAACCCCTGTAATACTGCTGCAAGAGGCTTCAATGCACACAAAAGACATACACAAAGCGGACCTCCTGTATTTTCAGTTCACTTTTAATACCATCACATGTAATGCAGGTGCCTTATGCTAGTAACATGTCAGGTGTACTTAGGGCTGTAATCAGATCGGATGGGGAAACTGATAGCGTAGATCTGAACCCCATCGGATTTAAAGATCTGGACTCGAATCCGAATCCATCGGATTTAATCCAATTCCACTACAAATTTTCTAAAATACTAGAAATGCTAAAAAATTATTTATTTCTTAACCTTTATATGTAATAAATTAATATAAATATAACACACCAAATTTATTATATACATAAATTCATATATAATATAATATATAGAATATTTTTTTATAATTTTAAATATAATTATATAAAACTTATATATTAAAATTAATAAATACTATATTATAATCGAATACCGGAATTTAATCGGATTGAATGGGGTCAAATCCGAATCCGATCCAATTACAATTGACAGCCCTAGGTGTATGTAATTAATTCACCCTAATTTATGAATTCATCTACAGTCAAAGACAGTGATGAGATCATATGAGAATGAGACACCTTGTACAAAAATGCTTTTTCCCTGTTTAGAGAAATGAGAAATGAGTATATGGTATTGTAAATAATATGGGGGAAGAGGTTTCAAATCTATGCATCAAACCCCTCAGACAAAGAGAGTAATGATTGGATTGGTGATCAGTTGATCACTCTGCCTCGATCCATTTTCATCCATTGTTGTCAAACTTGAAGCAGAAGACAAAGGTTGTAACAGTCGATGCAATATTTCTATTACTTTTATAACAAAGACATCAATCGGAACTATGTTATTCAACCCTTTAAATGGTTCTAAAACGCGATGCAAAAGAGGTTTATGTGGAAGCATCACCGTACTTTTGATCATCTCCCAGTACAACAGCTATGAATCTGTATCTGTTGGTCCAGTTCCATATATATGAGTCCAGTCTAGAGTCCACTCCTCCCAAGACAGATGGCCTTATGGTCAAAAACCAAATGTTTGTGGTGAAGGCATGTAAGAATTTAAATCTAACAGTAATGGAGATAAGATATAAAAATAACAAGTTTCTAAATACCACTACTATTGTACATGGAGGTACAACTCAGGTGCAGTTAAAACTAAACCAGAACCAGATACGAGTTTCCTTTCATTCTTTACAGCATCGAATAGATAATTGTATGGAGATTCCTAAGCCATTCCCTTCCTTATCTTACTTCTTATTCTTCATCTCTTGGTGCTGTCCACAAACTGTTCTCACATACAACCAAATAAAACCAAAAGAAAAAGAAAAGAGAAGGAAACCATATCTGAACTAAAAACTAGATTAAGAGGATGCTAAACTAACCAATGAGATAAGATTAGAACAAGTGGACGCGACAGCATTTGCAATTTGACAGGACCTATGATGCTAGGAATCAAGTCATGAATTTCATGTAGAGGTCCCCATTTTTGAATACTTATAATCTACAGGGCGTTAGGCAGGCATGCATCTGCGGATGGAGACACATCTTTAAGGATGTTCATTACTGGAGAATCTGGAACACACACACACTCTCAGGAACAGAATGGGCAACAGGAGAAACAAGAAAACCAACTGGTCTGTGCTGGTTTTGGGGCTTCTGTTGTGGGCTGTGGTTGTGGCTGCTGCGTTTCATCCGATTCAACCTTCACTGAACCATTTCTACCACCTTCCGCTGTCAATCTGCAGATGGACAAGTTAATTAGTTGTTTGCCTGAGGAGACCACACAATGCAAATATAGAAAGTTGGACATCCTGACTTGTCTGTGCAGTTTTATGATGAAAACTAACTAATAGAAAAATGTATCAACAATTTGCTGAAACACATGAATGCTCGCATGCAGGTTAACTAGGTACATGGCAATATGAGTAGGGAAAGAAGCATACCTTTATTTATAGGCATATATGTAGATCCACACACAAAGTTACAACATTATAATAGAAATAAACTCTACTGACACAGTGACACAGACAAATAAAAGATGGCATACCAACATGGATGCAAGTGCTACATACCAAAGATGCCAACTTCATGTACACATACACAGAAGCATATGCATGCATGCATGCATGTATGCACATAAATATTATCTTCATATAGACACTTTGATTGGATCTATTTCTATTAGTTTATGGGGTACGAGGTAATACAACTTACATGGGAAAAGCAAAAGACTTGATGCTGCTTCCACTCACATCAGAACGGTGAGACGACTGACGGACGACCTCAGCAGAAGGTACACTTTCCTTTTCAGCTGTTGCCCTTATGACCTCCTTCATAGTTTCAGCTGCTGCTTCAGCCACACCTAAGCTATCCCCCAAATCTGTATTGTTGTTACCATAACTCGGTGACATACTGACTGGGGATGGACTACCTGGAAAACTCAAATCCCCAGATCTGCCCAGCTCATCAGATCTACCCATCAAAAAGTCTCTGGAGAAACTGCTATTACCAACATGGATGCTGAATAATGACTCGTTGGAAGCCACACTCCATTCCATAGGTGTTTTGGACTTGCTTCTTGCAAATACAGAAGACGGGATCCTATATGGATCAGGATCTTCAGGTCGGTCCATCATTTGGATTTGAGGGGACTGCTTTGTAGAATCACAGTCGAAGTTAAATTCAGCATTGGCATCAGATAATTCCGGTGAGGATGTCAGTTGTGGTGTTCCGTCCTCAAAATCACTTGACGAGTGAGAGGAATTTTCATCATCTTTAAAAGCGGCCATATCGATAGATTCGATTTTAAGTAAACTTTTATCCACTTGGAACAAATCGTCAAGTGAATCTGATGATGATGATGACAATGACGATGGGCGTGGTTTTTTCCCTGAGAGAAGAAAATTACCTTCATCAGAAGTGGCTCCTGGATCTTTGGCACTGCCACTGCCGTGCCCAGATTCCATGATTAATGTTATGGAATCAGACACAGGTTTCAGGCTTCCTATAACATGTCATCCCTAAGGATAATATTCTGCAAGTGTGGAAGATATAGAATATGTAAGGATTTCGAATTCCATTGCATTGTAAGGATAGAAATGTGCACCTGCAAGTTCATGTGTGCTAAAATTACTTCTTGGGTTTAAGATCATATCAGCAAAAAGAAAGGAAGAAAATGGAATAAATTCATATTTAAATAACGAAGGAAGAATAGACAGAGCAACAGCTTAACTAAACTAAGCCTTGGCCCAACTATTTGAGGTTAGCAGATGGAAAAATAGGCACAAAATATCAATGTGGGGGCATGGGGCTGGCTTCACGAAACAAATATAGACAATACATACTTATTTTCACTTAAGGCTGCGTTTGGAAGGAGTGCAAACGCTGAACCATTGCAAAATTGTGCTCTGGTTCAGCTTTGCATCTGTTTGGTAAAGGTTCAAATATCCTTCGCTTTTTTCGATGTAAAAATGCATATAGGCCAGGTTTGTATGGAAAATAATTGCAATTTTTGCTTTATGTCATAAAAGCAAAGCAAACTTTGCTATCATTCTCGGTCGAAGCATATAGCATGCCGTCTGCATTTCTGAAGATCTAGAGAGAGAGAGAGAGAGAGAGAGAGAGGGAAGGACAACTCTGAACCGGAATTCCACTATGCGATCTTCTGAAAAAGCTTGTGGTTGAACAACTCCAAATTGGAACTCCACCATTCCGATCTTCTGAAAAAGCTTGTGATCAAACTATTGCCTTTGACCTCTAAGAGAGGCAACTTTGTTCTCGCTCAATGTGGCATTTGATTTTCTTTTTGGTTTCTCATTTTATTTTATTGTTTCTTTGTTTTCAAGTCACCTACCTTGTCGGAAGAGAGGTTCAACCTTGTTTTGAAAATCCATTGGAGTAGTTGAAGTATCTCAAACAAAACCTTCGTTAGTCGTAAACCTAAGAAGATTTTTCTCTTTTCTCAACCTTAAAGTTCCTATATCTGTGTATTTCCCTTTTCCCATGTGATTTGGAGCCATTTCCTCTCATTCTTATTCCTTCTCAGTTTTCTTCTATTTTGCCTTTTCATTGTTCCGTTTGAGTTCCAACACTAGAAGCTCCAGCAATAGCAACAACAGGTTTGATCGATTGTCTATTTTGATTTGTATTTATATTGAATTTTATTTCTATTGTTGCGTTAAAAATATTAGTAGTTGTGTTTTTCTCTTGAATTTTATCCTCTACAGTGCTTGACAGATTAGTAGTTGTGTTTTTCTCTTTGACATGATCAGCAAGTAGTCATATGAACAAAATAACTTTATCCATAATACCTCTGTCTCATTAGTCTCATTAGTGTTGTCATTAATATTGGTATACATGATATGGTAACAACACCCATGCTTGTTTTTGGGAATTAAAATATGTATCAAATAATCCAATTGGAAATGCTTTAACCACATTGTATGTGGGAAATGGATCTATTCAAGATGGCTTTGCGGTGTTTAAGGTCATGGAAAACAGGGATCTAATTTCATGGAATGCTGTTTTATATGGAATCCAAGATGGTTAGTTTTGCAACCAAGGATTTTAACTGTCTCATCTATCTATCTAAACCAATTTAACAATATACTTCTTCATGTTTGTCAACCAATTATCAGCTATCTCATCTATCTAAATCATATTTAGCAGAATTCAAGCTATAAAGGTTGAACTTTGACTCATGTATGTAGAATCGCATGAGTGTTGAATCATGATTCTTTATTAGCATGAAATTCATCTGATTCTGATCCGTGGAAAAGTTTCCCATAAACTTGAGTGTTGATCCCAACCCAATAGAGAAAGGAGGGAGAGGGTGATACAATAGTGAACATGTGGGGATAAAAGTCATTGATTTATTCTAGTTAATCATTCGATGTTGTAGAGAACTTCCTATACAAAAAAAAAATGCATTTGAATATATGATCCTAACAAATAATTAATATTTATTGATGCCCAAAGATTACAAAAATTTTTGTGCCCAAATACAGCAAAAAGGAAAATCTTGGTGAAATATGCCCCAATACCAAAAAAAAAAAAAAAATCCTAGTTATCAAATGTTTTGAAAAGCAAGCCAGACATTTATCAAAAAAAAAAAAAAATAACCCAGACTCCTAACAGCGAATTTTTGGATCCAATCATAGCGCAAAGTTGTACTGACCAATTGATTGGTTGATGCTCTATTCTAGCTAGGCAAGGAAAGGAAGAATGGGGTAGTGGAGGCTAATTAGTCTTGTAGGGGTGCTTGGCACATATACAAAGTAAATGCTATTCTTTACTAGAATTAATACAATCACTACTTAGTTAATGATAAAAAAAGGAACTTTAATCCCTGATCAACTATGATTTCCTAGAGATTTCCTATCAAGTATTAGGCTTTCTAGCATGATAGACAGGGAGGGAGGGCCCAGGAAATAAATGTTTGCATTCATGATGATACTCCTTTTTTTCCATTTTTGGTCAATAATGAGATGATAGGTTTCATTAAATACAAATCTATGAAAGGTTTACATTGGAGAATAAGGTGACCTCCAACTGTAATGTAGAATACCATACAAAATACAGAGATATTTCATCAGTTTGTGATAATTTCCTCCTAATTCTTGTAGAAATTTGCTTGCATCATGTCTTGAACTCTTTATGTGTGGATGCCCAAACTTTAATAAGAGAGTTAATATTGTTAGAGAATTTGGTAAAATAGTGGCATAGAGAAATCTTCAAAAATTCTTCTATTTTGTTCATCCAAAATCCCTAAGAAGATAACTAATTCTCTATTTCGTGGTAGTTGAATATACTGTCATCCATCTGAGCATCTCTGATGCATCATCATGTTATGCATTTTTAATTGTCATGTTACAATTTGTTTTATTTTTTCTTCTACTCCTAGAAACATACCTAGTCCATGTAACTAGATCCTTCTAGAACAAAGAAAGGCAAAGAATTGCAGAACTGCCATATCATATTGTCTAAAAAATAACTCTAATTCCTAAACTATTGAATCAATGACTGAAATTTCAAACACAACTAAACTATGACTAGACAAATTAGAAAACAATGCCGGACCCCATAGAAACCATGCAAAATAATCAAAATATACTTCCTATCTAAAACTACAAAATACATGAAAATTCAGAAATTCCATTTATGACTTATTTGCTCTTGCATCAATACTCAATAGCATTGCCAATGGAAAGGGATTAATGGAGAGCAGATGACAAAGAGCAGAAAGGAGGTTTTGTGTCTATGTATGTGTGTAGATTGGATTTGTAAGTTGTTCTCCAAAGCCTAAGATACTACACCTGTCTCAAAAACACCCACTCACCCACTGAGCACCATATTCACTCACAATGTAGTCTAGGTGGTCAGTTGTTATCCCTCTCATTGACAAACTATGTGGCTATGTTGGCAGTACCTCGTTAGAGGCTCTTCTTAGGTGGTCCTATCTCCCAAATACACATTAACAGTTCACAACACTGTTATTGTATGGTTTAGAAAACAATTCATAGCATAGAAATAGACAAAACTTGCACTGCCTGTAAAACTATTAATTGCAACAAACCCCAATTAATGTTTTTAGTGCAAAAACAGGCTAACATAGAAACCCAGATCACTCTAAAGGAGAAGCACAAACAAAGAAACCTAAACCAAAACTTGGCAAAATCTTGGGTGGGGTCAACACCCTAGCCATCCTCTAGGGCAGGGTAATTGCTTAGAATTGTTACCCTAGCTCTCATGAAGTGCATGAATTCTAAAAGAAATCTAAGTTCTCATTTTCTTCTTCCCAACTAGTTTATTTTTCTATTTTGTGGTTGTTTTATTGCTTTTCAATTAATTTTCACTTTTACAACCATGGTAAGATTTCTTTGATTGATCCAATGGTTTAAAAGGCACTCCAAGGTTTCACAGGACAGGCAATGATTCGGTGACATTCAGAAGGATCCAAGTTGTCAATGGCATTCAGGTCCTCTAACAATATGGGTCGTCCTGAGATCATTCGCCCCTCTGTTTGCAGTAAAAGCATGTTGTCAGCATTCTTTCTTAAACCCAAGTCATTAAAGTAGTAATTTACAGGTTGAAACATCTATGAATTGAGGGAAATTAAATACCCATATTTAAATATTAATGTGGTTGAGTTGTAATTTACATATTGATGTGAATTGAGGGTGAGTAACGTTCAAGTGTTTGGTGTATGTTAGCGACGGTCAAGTGAATTGAGGATGGTGATCAAGTGTTTTGTACCGGCCGAGCCAAATGCTGACAAATATGTATTTAGTATTTGCATTGACTATGCCAAACAAGATCCAAACATTTCATACATGTAAAGCCAAGCCGATTTTGCATTCCACTAAACCGGACAACTTTGTATTGTACTGTTCACTTTTGTATTTGTACTTTTTCCAAAGCAGCCTAAACAATACAAAGGTTCTGGGAAGAATCATTAACCAGATAATAACGAGTAGAAATGTACTTATTCACTTAAATAATACATAATTACTTTCATAATTTCACAATTACATGATATACGTAGCATTCAACACCTTTTTTATAAGTTAAAAAGATATTAAGATAATATAAGCACAAAGAATAAATAAAGGTTCAGTACAAAGTCCAATGGCTATTAAATGGCGATAGGGAACCCAACCACACACATTGAACACCTTAACTATCGCAGCAATAAATGGCTATTAATTGGCCCAGAGTCAAGGAGAAAAGTTCAATGGCGATCATTTCATAATTGATATATACAAAAGATTCTTATCAAGCATCAAAAGCTGAAATGATGTCATTCCATTTAAAGAGTTTCTTCTTTTATATTTGAAATCATAAGTGCACCACCCGAGATGGATTGAAAGCAAGAAAGTTGATCAATATAGATGAAAACATCTTGGTATTTAAACCCAAAAAAATAAATAAAATAAATAAAATACATCGTAGATAATGAAATCCTGATTTCTGAATTCATTGGCCAGGGAAAATTCAAATTAAACTGATTTGGTTTCAAATTCCCACCTAATTAATAAAAACTAGTATCTCGTGTGGAAAGTGGCTTGTGAAAAATTCTCTCTCTCTCTCTCTGTATTTCTCTTCTGTCCACAACATTTTTCCATTTCAACTAGTTTGCATTTTTCGATCTACAAACATCTCAGTCTCGGTTTTACACCAAGTGTTTGATAAATTGAGATGCTAATACTTCCAGTAATTCATAATCTCTTGGAATTCCAACATGTAACAAGTTATTTAGAAACGAAAATTTGGGTGAATTAAAACAAAATGAAAAATTTTCAAAGTTCCTTTGAAATGATAGTGCATCATAATTAAGTTTCAGAATTTCCCTCCATCTTTTTCTATATATTGATATTCTCAAGTAGGGAACCTTTCAATCTGCCTTTTCATTTCCTCCTTTATAATTCATATATGTGTAGCACTTCTCCTTCCCAACCTTAGCCACAGAAATTCTCACGAGGGTTCAACAGATCTAGCATGCTCTATTCTAGCTAAACACGACAAGGAAACATCAGCACTTTCAATCGAAGCATAAACAAAAGAATAAATGATCTTACGATGAACCCTTGTAATTCCCAACTCTGGACCAGTATTAAATCTGTGCAAATTTTTTTTTTTTAAAAAAAAGGAAAAACAATGAAAAGAAACAAAACCCATACACTGAAACCAACGCTAAAGCTTATTTAACATAATATTAAGATTTAGCAAAAAGAATTCTAAAGAAAAATAAAAGCTGATGAAAATATGAAATGGATTGAAGTAATAGAAATGGAATGCCGTCGTTTTTTTAGTATAAACATACCTAGATTAAATGGGTCGATTGCAACAGGAATTGGAAGCGCAGGTAAACCCGTTCTTTCTTCTGTCTCTCACTCTCCTTCTTCCTTCCCTTTGTCGTAGGTGCTTCTGTTTGGAGGGGAGAGGAGGGGGAGGAGAGGAGGAAACGATGAGCGGAGGAAAGAGGCGAATTGGGGATTGAGAGGAATTGAATTAGGATTTCCGATAGAGGCCCGGACGGAAGGCCGAGCGACGTTTTCGACATTTTTATCCTCCCCAAATAACGAAATCTTGTTGCCTTTCGCGCCATTCACCAACTGCCTCTCTCTCTCTCTCTCTCTCTCTCTCTCTTTCAAACATCAAACATGCACGCGCTTGATTTGATTTCGCTCTGGGAAATCGTTTTCTTTTTTTCTTTTCCGTTACTTTTAAAAGAAAGGGTAAATTGCTGAAACGTCCCCTAAAATTTCATAATTGCAATTATGTCTTAAAATTTCTGATACAGTTGAGAGACACGAAAATGTCCAATTTGCCTTTCACCGACACATTTATTTTCCAAATTTGCCCCCGTGTTTTCAAACTGTAATTGGCATGGATTGTCGGACCCTTATTTTTAAGTTAGAGCATGCTGTCCATCCAAACTAAATGGTTGAACCATTGACCAAAAAACCAATGGCTAAAGCGGTTCTAGTTCTAGCTCAATTTTTAAAACCTTGATTTGCCCTTCAGATCAATCGCCACCCGAAATCATTTCAATCTCTTTTTCAAAATTGATACCCCCTCCATTAATAATCCCATCTTTCTCATCTAAGGGAAATTTTGGCAATGAGAAAACTTAGTTGCTAACATCAGCACACCCATTTCTCATGTAAGAGCATTTGCTTTTTGAGGCCATGTAAGGGCAGTTATGTTGTTTAGAAAATGTAGTTGGTGATATCTAACAAATTCAATTAGCTTTTAAATTGTGACCCAACGAAGGGGTCTACTTGAAATTATGTAAAAAAGTATAAGGGAGGTAGTTGCAATTACTAAATTTTAAGGGAGATTTCAATAATAGTTGGAAACTTCAAGGAGGTTTTAGCAATTTACCCTTAAAACAATGCCTACCTGGGGGTGCTCACATTTCGGTTAACCGAACTATGGGGCATTTTTTGGAACTAAATTGGTACTATCGGTTTTTGGAAAACTAGTAACTAGAACCGAACCTAATCCAATCGGTTAACCGGTTCGGTTAATCATCGGTTTTTTATTTTTTTAGTTTTTACAATATATTATAAAAAATATATAATAAAAATTATAAATATATAATATTATATTTTAAGTAATAAATATTATATTTATTAATTTATAATATATAAAAAGAATAAAATATATATAATATATATAGTATACATAAATATATATAGAAATATATGTATACCAATTAGTTCAGTTAACCACCGGTTTTTATATTGGTTAACCAAAACCGAATTGGTACCTTTGGCTTTTTAAAAACACCGAACCAAAATTGAACCAACCGGTTCGATTAACTGATTTTTTGGTTTGATTTTGGTCAGTTCGGTTTTTCAGTTTTTTCTACTCACCCCTAACCCTATCCATGCATGATAGCTTCTCCCTCACACAATTACCATCCTAATTTTTCATTAAATAGCCCTCTTAAGCATAAGTCTATCCACTTTTTTTTAAAGGAAAAATATGATAACTTTGCACATGTGTACATATCACAAAACGATACAAATTCCCACTATATCATAAAAAAGTGGGGGTGGTTTATTCCACTGTTTTCAAAACTGGACTAGACCGGACGGTTGGACTGGAAAAATTGGAAACCAGTCACCTGACCGATTTCATTTTCCTCCAAAATCGCTTTTTCTTCCAAAACCATTGATTTTGGTCAGCAAACCATTGAACCGGTCGGTTAACCATTCAAACGGTTTTGACTATTTTCCAATTTTTTAAAATTTTTTATTTTTTTGTCAGAACGGGCTGACCATTCGAGTTGAACGATTGGACCATTCGAATCAGTAATCGGACCCCTGACCGGTTCGATCACCGGTTCATTTTAAAAACCATGGTTGATTCTATTCACAAGATAGTTTAATTTGATTTTAGTATTCACTTTTTCAAGAAACGAGTAACCCATTTTTAAATTTATTTTCAATAATCCGGTTAATTTTTAATTTGTTTTGAGTTTTACCTTCAAAATATATCCAAGACTTCAAGTAACCAAAAGATGTGACTAATCTTTGCATTCAAACTCTTTATTTATGGGAATGGACGAGGAATCCTTGTGAAACATGGGTGTGAAACCCTAGAGCCGCCCCCTCCTCATTCTCCATGGTGAATCCCAATGGGGATCCATCCTCCTACAAAGAAAACCATGTTTGCCTCCATACTCTTGAAGCTCTCCCCTCTCTGAAAAAAAAAAGGAAATCTCCTCATATTCCCATTGTTAACACTACACTTAATCAAAGAGAACAACCTACTATTGTTTTCCCAAAAGAGGTATCGTGACAGTCATATGAATTGTTTAAATGGGCTCTCATTAAGGGTATCAATGAAGCGGTTATGGATTGGATGTTGTCCAGTCCAAAATTAATTTGGATGGATTGGATGGACCAACAAGGCATATTGGATTGGACCAACCCAATCCAAAATATTTATTAGATTAGATTGGACCTGGTACATCTGTAATAAATTTATATTGGATTGGGTTGGATTAAACCAATATCTAGGCCATTGATATAAGATGGAATATGTGTCAATGAACCGAATTTGGGTTAAATCCAATCTAAATCAAAATGAATTTGAACAKATTAGACAGTCTGGACATTGAATTGGACCGGTCCAAATTGGTCCAAAACATTCATTGGACTGGATTGGACCTGATCCATTTATAATGGACTGACATTGGAGTACTGGATCGGATTGGACCAAATCCAGTCCAATTGACACCCCTAGCTCTCATCCGCAAGTGCATGCATGGCCGACCCTCTCACTGCTAGAACCACAGGATTTTATTTGCAAATCCTTTATGATAAAGAATAAGATTTGGGTCGCAATGTTGGACGCCAAGAACATCTTGATTCATTTTGCGGAGGAAGATCTTCACAATCTTTGGTTGAGAGAAGCCTTCAAGGTCAGATCTTTTATTGATCGACTTTTCAAATGGGTCCCGAATTTTAAATCTAGTTGGGAACCATCTATTCTTCCAATTTGGATTAATTTTCCTTATTTGCCTATGAAAGGTTCCACATAGCCATCGTCATATTGTTGTTACCTCAACTATATATGGGAATGTCACATTTAGGTATATGGGTGCTATTTTGATAGATTCTGATCCCAATCCAATGACGAACAACGATATATATTAGGTCTCCTATGGCTCTCGAGTCTTATGGGAAAGACACATGTATTATTGAAGTTACATATGACTTGTTTAATCTGATGATTTTGGATGATCTATGTTTGTGAGAATCTGATTCTCGTGGATTGATAAGGAAATATGGGCTAGTGTGTTGTAGGCACATCTTTCACAACAATGCTGAAGAAACTAGCTTCGTTAAGCACTGTTATGAGGAAGATCCTCATAAGGAAGCAGCAACAGAGTAGAAGAATTGGCGAGCTCTTAGCAAGAAGTCAGTAATTCAACAAATTTTAGTTTCCTGCTTTCTTCTAAACCAATATTTGCATGATCAAGACAAAGATCATGCGTGTGGGCTGAAGGACGAGGAAATTGGTGGTGGTCTGCCTAAAGGATGGTAAATGACTAGAAGGTCGGGTGGTGAAGGCAAAGGTGAGGGCTAGAGTGTGAAGAAGGGGATAGTGGAGGAGATAAGAATTAGGGGTGATCATTTCAGCCTGGTCCAGAAATTTTGGGTTTGGGCTTAGGTTTTGTGTTCAAGTCCAGCCCGGGCCCAGGCCTGCAAATTTTAGGGCCGGGCTTGCACTTAATACATCAAGCCCAGCACGGGTCTGGCCTGGCCTGGCCTGCATATATTTAAGCTTACACATTTTGTGTATAATGTATACATGCTATTTTACATTATATTATATATTTTATATATAAATATTATAACATGACATGTATAATTTATATTATATGTAATATTTTATATTATATAATGTATAAAATAAGTTTATATGCATGTTATGTTATTTAATATATAGATATTTAATGTTTTATATATGAGGGACATTGGCTCGGAATTAGGCCTGGCTTGGCCTGAGTCCGTATAGACTTGGGCTAGGGCTTATGTTTCAGGCTCAGAACCCCGGGCCGGGCCAGGCCTAGGCCTAAGCTATAGCCCTTATCATAAGTGCAAAGCCCAGCTCGGGCCCAGCCTGGCCCGGTCCATGATCACCCCTAACAAGAATGCTAGGGTTCTAGTAGGGATCTTGGAATGATCTCGTGTTGGGGGGATTTGAACCTCTCCTATCTATAAAGGAAGAGGAACCAACTATAAAAGGAAAAGAGGAAAAATGATGGAGGGAACTTTCTTGTTTCGAAAAGGTAGTTAGAGTTTGTTATATCTAAGACGGGTAAGCAATTCAAGGTTTCACCACGTCTATGAGAATATCCTAAGATCAGGACTTCCTGCCTATAAATCTGCATGTGAGCATGTTTGTAGCTGCAACCCCTTCTAAAGTTTATTTGTGGTTGCATGGTGTGGCATCTCTCACAAAAGCGTCTAAGTGTATGAGAACAACATCATGAATGACCCATTGTTATGGTTGCATAGCACGTTGTTTTCATAACCTTTTTGTATGTTGGGTCAGGTAACAAGGTGGATGCAATAGCATGAACTCTATTTGCATATGCAGTGTTGAACCAGCCCAGGTTTCCTACTCACTTTTCCTATTCACTTTCTATCTGTCATAAGAGATGTGTAGCAGCAATTCACAGCGGATAGAGAGTGGGTAGAAAATGTGAGTAAGAAATCCCGAGTGGCGTTGGAACGTGCAACTCTGCGTTTTTGATTCCCAAATATGCGATTCACACTTGTTATGGTGGTAGTCATAACCTCCATCACAGGCTTTTCTGCATTGGAATTGCCTACATGTACTTACAATGACCACCCATTCAAGAAATATATTATAGCCAAGGTCATGGAGAAACGTAAGGAATATAGACATACTTAGGTCAATAAGAACAATCAAAGCCATAACACCCACCACTCCCTCCTACAGAAAATGATAACATGATTTATCAAAAGACTTCCAATGACCTAGGGTTTGTTCTGTTATGTGGTTGGAAAAAGGTGTGGCTTATCTTAGAACACACAATTCTAAGTATGGTGTCTTCTAAAACCATTGCACCATGCATTTTGTATGTTGTATAGTGTGATGTGTTCTCCTATAAAACACATTAAATGAT